ACGCTGTGGACTCCGCACTTAAGTAAGTCACTTACTTGGAATCGGGCACTTAACTAGATTTGTGAACGCTGCGAAGGAGCAGAGACTGGGCACACCATGATTCTCGGTACAATGCTGTTGATGCCGTACTTAAGTGAGTCTTTCTGTTGGAACTAGGAGTAGGACTCCTAAAGTAGGGGTCGAAAATGCCATGCAGGCTTGGGAAACTGCTGTCGACTTGTCACTCAAGTCAGGGCACACTCCACTCAAGCCATGCAGGCAAGCGAGTTTACAGAAATACCTGCTTTTATATCTCCGGGTCTGAACACGTCATGGGGAAAGCAAGTCTTTAAGAAAAAAAAGGCGCGCTTTTTTAGTAAATTCCAGGAAGTCGGGGTGTACAACAAATTATATATCGCTGAGACGTTTTTGCTGGGTGTTTTTTACAAAGGCCCAGAAACACCTGGCACAACTCCTCTTGTCTGAAAACCATCGGCAGCTCTTAGAATCCTGTGCTGCACTTTCTCATTCAATACTTAAAACCAAGCCAGTGCTGTATCACCGCCCCTCTCCCTCTTGAACCCCCCTAAACCTCCTCCCGCTCCTCCCCCTCCTCCCCCTTCCCCCCCTTATTCCCCTTTCTTCTTAAATTTTCCCCTCTTTTCTCAACTCTCCTGCCCTTATCTTCCTGCCCCTCTCCTCTCACCACTCCCACTCACACGCGTTATCAGGGATGGGGAAGGTCAACTCACCTGCCCCTCTCCTCCTGCTCCGACTCAACTCATTCCTCAGGTCATCAGAGATGGGGAAGGTCAAAATGGGCCCTCAGAAGCCAGCCCAGCGAGCAGCACCATTCATGGTTCCGAGTGATTGCTCTTGCTCTTACCCTCCTGTTTCCCCTGCCCTCATCCAAATTATTTCTCAGGCTATCACAGATGAAGGTGAGCATGGATCCACACAAGCCAGCCAGCCAGCCAGCCAGCGAGCAGCACCATTCATGCTTCTTCTCCTTGTGCCCACTTTCCTCAACCCTCCTTTGACGGAGTTGAGGAACTCGGGCATGTTGGGCTGCTCAGTGGCTGGCTTCTGCGGGTCCATGCTGACCTTCATCTCTGATAGCCTGTGGTGTGGAGGGTAAGAACAAGAGCAATCACTCGGAACCATGAATGGTGCTGCTCAGTGGCTGGCTTCTGCGGGTCCATGCTGACCTTCATCTCTGATAGCCTGTGGGGTGAGCGGGAGGGGGGGGAAGGGGGGCAGGAGGGTTGGGGAAGTGGCGTACACAGGGAAGGACTATGAGTGGTGCTGCTCGCTGGGTGGCTTCTGCGGGTCCATGTTTACCTTCATCTCTGATAACCTGTGGGGTGAGCGGGAAAGGAGGGGTCAGTGCTTTCACTCCCTTCCGTCTCGATGTTCAGTGCATGCATCCCCTTTAGTCTAGCTCTGTGCATGCATCCCCTTTGGTCTTATTGACTTTGAGTCGACTCAATCGCTGCCTCCCAGCGAGCAGCCCAACATGCCCGAGTTTCTCAACTCTGTCTGGATGGTCAGTGCCTTTTTTGTGTTCATTTGGTGCTTTCCTCATCTTTTGAGTCCGTCCGCTGGGATTCTTTATATACAATTCGCTCCACGATGCAAAGAATGTTGTAATACGAAGTGCAGTCCGCAACTTCGTCCCACTCCATCCCACTAAAATGTGTTACAGATAAGCCTATTGGACATTGAGGGTACCCGCTACCCTCCCTCCTGCCCAACTTCTCTTTTCCTCTTATCTGTCTTCCCTTCCAATCCCTCCCCTTCCTCCTTCCCAATTCTTCTTTTCTGTTTTCTCTTGCAATCCCTTCCCTCCTGCCCAATTCCTCTTTTCCTCTTTTCTTCCTTTCCTTGCAATCCCTCCCCTCCCCCCTGCTCAATTCCTCTCTTCCGTTTTCCAATTGCAACAGATAAGCGTGCTGGACATAGAGAGTACACTGCGGCACGTGGTGGAGCTTGTAGTGAAAGACAAGACTGCTTCTAAGGAGGACAGGAAGAAGAGGGCCAGTGGCATCATGAGACTGGGCAGGATTTTCCAAGGGGCGTGAGAGGAAAGAGGTGTGAGAGGACAGGGAGGTGAGAGGAAAGGTATGATTCTTGAGTTGACTCAAAATGACTTTGTGTCGTCTCAGAAAAGGAAGAAGAGGGCCAGTTGCATTATGAGACTGGAGAAGATCTTTCAAGGGGTGTGAGAGAATGGGGTGTGAGAGGAAAGGGGTGTGGGAAGAAAGGGGTGTGACGGGAAGGGGTGTGAGGAAGTGAGTGCGCGCGAGTGAGAAGAAACGGGTGTGAGGAAAGGAGTGTGAAGGAAGGAGTGTGAAGAAGGGGTGTGAGAGGAAAGGGGTTCATTCATTGGTGGTGCTCCATCGGTCCACCGCATAAATAAGTGGCCTTAGCCGAGCCGGAAAGGCAGGCCACAGGAGACGCTTCTTAGGTAGGTTCCCTCCAGGAACCATCAGCTGGGCTTCAAGGCAGCAGCAGCAGCAGCAGAGAAGGGCAGGCGAGGCCTGCAACAATGGAGCATGCAGAAAAGGCAGACCAGCGCAGGGATGGGATGGGATCATTCCACTTGAGGGCTGCTCTGCCCTTGAAAAGTCAGCGCCGGAATCATTCTTGAGGCGCCTTGGGAAATGCAGTGAATCAGTGGTGGTGTAGTTCCTGGTTTGGGGTGGGGCTGGCTTGGCAACTTGGCATGCCTCCGATTCTCAAGTCTTGAGTAGATTCATTTGGAAGTGGTGAGGATATTCAGTCACTCGTGTACACTTGGCTGCAGCCGGAAATGTACAATGCTGTCACATTCATTTCGGCACATTCCCGTCTACGGAGCCTCGTTTGACCACAACACAACACCAGTATCGAGCATTATCTTGTGTGTCCACAAACCCCCCCAGAAACTCTAGTCTTCATCAGTCTTGGCCATTCTAGACCACTCATGACCACTCTTGATCACACTTGACCACTGTTGATCACTCTTGACAGTGGAAGCTGAGACCCAGCGAGTGTTCCGTCAGTGTGCCTCCTCGTCTTCCCCCGGGCACATGCTTGCAAGGGCCTCCTCACTCTCGTACTGCACACAGCAATAGAGGGGAGGTGGGGGAGAGTGGGGGGTTTGAACCGACTCAAAAAGACACCTGGTGAGCGGGTTCCTCTTAACTTCCCCTGGGCACATGCTTGCAAGGGCGTCCTCGCTCTCATACTGCACACAGCAAGAGGGGATGGGAGTGTGGAGGGGAAGGGGGTGAGTTGACTCGAAGCCTCCTCTTCCGTGTGCTTCCTCGTCTTCCCCCGGGCACATGCTTGCAAGGGCCTCCTCACTCTCGTAGTGCATACTGCAAGGGAGGGGAGAAGAGAAGAGCGGGAAACGCGGAGGGGGAGTGAGTGGGCATGGGGGGAGGGAGAGAAGCTGTGAGCCCCTACTGTACAAGTCCGCTCCGTCGCTGCTGCTGATGGTGGTTGACTGATTCAGGGTGTGATTCGGTGCAAGCGCTTCAACACAGTAAGGTGTCAGCTGCAAGTGCTTCCATGGACTCGCATGGATGGAAACAAGACAACGCAGCAGAGCAACATGAGCAAACTTTTGAGTCGACTCAAAAGTCACGATGCAGAGCAAAATGAGCACTCCTGGTTGCAGGCGACAGAACACCCTAATGCCTCCATGCACCTGGCAGGAGCAGAGCACCCACCTGGCAGCAACAGAGCACCCACCTGGCAGCAGCAGAGCACCCACCTGGCAGCAACAGAGCACCCACCTGGCAGCAGCAGAGCACCCACCTGGCAGCAACAGAGCACCCACCTGGCAGCAGCAGAGCACCCACCTGGCAGCAACAGAGCACCCACCTGGCAGCAGCAGAGCACCCACCTGGCAGCAACAGAGCACCCACCTGGCAGCAGCAGAGCACCCACCTGGCAGCAACAGAGCACCCACCTGGCAGCAGCAGAGCACCCACCTGGCAGCAACAGAGCACCCACCTGGCAGCAGCAGAGCACCCACCTGGCAGCAACAGAGCACCCACCTGGCAGCAGCAGAGCACCCACCTGGCAGCAACAGAGCACCCACCTGGCAGCAGCAGAGCACCCACCTGGCAGCAACAGAGCACCCACCTGGCAGCAGCAGAGCACCCACCTGGCAGCAACAGAGCACACACCTGGCAGCCACAGAGCACCCACCTGGCAGCAACAGAGCACCCACCTGGCAACCACAGAGCACCCACCTGGCAGCAACAGAGCACACACCTGGCAGCCACAGAGCACCCACCTGGCAGCAACAGAGCACCCACCTGGCAGCAACAGAGCACCCACCTGGCAGCCACAGAGCACCCACCTGGCAGCCACAGAGCACCCACCTGGCAACCACAGAGCACCTACCTGGCAACCACAGTGTATGCAGTAAAAATGCTTGTGCCGCAGGCGATGCAGTGCGAGTAGGAGGAGCTGCAGGGGATGAGAGGAAGAGGGCGAAAGGAGGAAGGAGGAGGGTAGAGTCACATCACAGTCTATGCAGTACAAGTGCTTCTGTCGCAGGCGATGCAGTGCGAGTAGGAGGAGCTGTAACGAATGGCAGGGAGGAGGAGGATGGCACACAGATGGACTTTTGAGTTACACGTGCATAATCAACCCTGGGACCACTTAAGTAACAACCGCAGGTGCGGAGCCATTCTTGAGTGATCCAACTGTCGCGTCTTAAGCTCGCTACTGTCACACAACGACTCAGCTCGTCAGGAACGATGTCCTCTCTCTACCAACACCTCCCCCGCCTCCCCTCCCTCTCCCCATTCTCCATGACTTTTTGAGTCGACTCAAAAGTCACACAACGACCCATCTCTTCAGAAACAATGTCCTCTAAACATTCTTTTGCTACTGTCACACCGCCTCTCGTTACTTTCACATGTCAACCAACCTTTTCAAAAACGATATCCCCCGTGTTGAAGTCATTTTCAAACCCCCTCTCCTCCTCCCCTCCCCCCCCCCCCCCCCCCCTTTTTTTTTTTTTAGGCTCCTACTGCCACACAATGACGACTCACCTCTTCAGAAACGATGTCTTCTAGAAGCACCTCCCCCGCCTCCCCTCCCTCTTCCCCCTCCCCATTCTCCTCCCCTCCTCCTCCTCCTCGTTCCACCTCCCTCGCATCTCCCCTCCTCTCCTCCACCTCCTCCCACTCCTCATCGCTTACACCATCAGCATTATACTCCGTCACTATCCGTTTCTTCCTCACTCTCCTCCTCCTGTCCCTCCCCATCTCCGCACCAGCCCCTCTCTCCGTACCACCAGCACCACCACACCTAGCACCACCACACCTAGCACCACCACACCTAGCACCACCACACCTAGCACCACCACTCCTGGCACCACCACTCCTGGCACCACCAGCACCAGCACCACCGCGACCACTACCACCACCACCAGCACCCATCAAAAAGCCAGAAGCAGCTTGGGAGGAGGAGGAAGCAGCGCCAATCCGCACAGCCTGGGCTTTAAGCCACTCCTCCCCGCCTTCCAGGTGCAACAGGGCCGTCCTCGCCTTTCTCAACGCTCCTCTCACTTTCCACTCGCTCCACCTGCCCTTCCGCCGCTCCTCAAACCCCCCTCTCAACGCCTCTTCGCCTCTCTGCCTCACCCGCGCTGCTGCCTCTGCTCCAAGCTGCTTCTGCCTCTCCGCCTGCTCCTCCTCCTCCTCCTTCCCCAGCCCCTTCCTGTCTCGTTTTAAGCTCAACGCGACGGGCTCGACCCACACGAGCGGTTTTTTCCGGTTGGGCGCGGTTGCAGGCACTGACCCCCCTCCATTGTCCTCGGTAGTAGCTTCCCCTGTAAGCTCTACTGGCCGCTCGCCACTGCCGTCATCGCGCCCCTTAACGCGGGTTTTACACAACCAGCCGTCAGGTTCTGTGCGAAACACTCTCTCCCTCTCTCCCACCGGTTGATCCCCTAAACACTCCACTTCACCCTTCTCCCCACGTTCCTCTCTCTCCGCCATCCCCACACTCACCTCCCCCCGCCTCGCTTCTGACCCTTCCCCAATTTCCGCCGAGCCCATCCTCCCCGCGCTCGGAAATTCCGCCTTTCCGCCCATCCCTTGCGTCGCAGGAGGGCCCTTAAAGCCCATCTTCTGCAGCAGTTTAAAGCCGATGTTCGAAGGCGGTATGGGCGCCGCGAGCCCTTCCGCAAGATCCGCCGCCTCGGCCTTGTCCTTTTCCTCGCGAACCTGCTTCCGCCGCTCCTGCCACGTCAGCTTCTTCCAATCGTCTGGCCGCTGACGTGGCGCAGGCTTGGCCGGCTTTTTCTGCCGTTGCTGCTGCTGATTGAGCAGCTTTGACGCATCTTCCGGCGGCAAGAAGGCCGAGAGATCGCCCATGTAATCGTCCACGTCAGCATCGCCGCCAGGCGATGCTGCCGCCATGGATCTACGTACGCGATGTAGAGCGGAGCTTACTAAGAAGAAAAAAACGTATACCGCTTCTAAATCGAGTCGGAAACGCGCCCAAAACTGCCGTCGTCGATCACAGCGCACGCAATTCTGAGTTTGGATGTCTTATCGGTTTTCGCTTCTCAACGAACGTAGAGTAGCTGATCGTCCCTTCAGTTTCGCAATTTGCGAGGTACGACATGAACAATTTGGAAAGGCTCGATCTTGGTGGGAGGGAATCAATGCGTGAAGTGATGCGAGTGCCTCAAAAGGTTTCGCAAGTTGTGCAGCCCACAGTGCACTTCTTTGCAAAAGTCTTTTGATTGTTTACTTTCAGGACAGCTCTCTAATCGTCCTTCGGGACATCCGTTAAAATTGGAACGATACAGAGAAGATTAGCATGGCCCCTGCGCAAGGATGACACGCACAAATCGAGAAATGGTCCAAATTTTTTTGGCGATCTGACAGAACGTCGACCAAGGGTTGCAAATAAGAGCGATGCATGTTCAGGGGTTGTCAATGTGGAAGAGCTGGCTATGTGAGGGTCACTCACGGGCCATGTAGCCACGTTGGACCTAGATTAGTGTCAAAATGAAGAATGGATGATGCATTGATGTTGGTTGGGGTACATATAGCTAACCCTAAGTTTTGTACCCCCTAAGACAAACCTCACTATAGGCTACAACATTTGACACACCCCCATAGCCTAAGTGAGGGGTGTCTAGCAGAACCAAACGAGTACGGTCACAAGACCAGTCCAAGAAACGAAGCTCAGGGTGGATCACAACGTCACCACACAGTCTGAGCACAAACAACAGTGGCCACAAGGCCAGTCCAAGAAGTAACAGAGGTATATAGAAAGCAAAGTAAACAGTACACTCAAGTCTAAGCAACACGAGAACCAGTGTCAACAAGGCCTAACTGCACACAGCACCTCTGATGGTCACAAGGCGGAAGCGCCTTGGTGAAGATGTCTGCAGTGTTGGCCTCGGACTCCACAAACTCAAAGCGAGCCTGTCCACGCCTCTGCAACTCTCGCAGAAGAAAGTACCTGACGTGAATGTGCTTCACTCTGCTCTCCAGTCGTGGCTCTCGACAAAGGAGAATAGACGCCTTGTTGTCAGTGAACAAGGTCGGTGCAGAGCTCGGCCGCTCACCAAGGTCGGTGAGCAAGAAGGTCAACCAACGGAGCTCCTGTGCCGCCATGGCACCAGCGTAGATCTCAGCCTCAGCTGTAGAGGTCGAGACCGAAGAGGAGCGCGTGGACCGCCAGGAAACAGCTCCAGAACCCAGGCTGAAACAGTACCCCTGAGTAGACCTGTGAGTCTCAGCGTCGTCAGCGTAAGAGGAGTCACAGTGACCAGTAAGTACGACAGACTGCTGCCCTCCAAGAACTAGCCCCACGCCTGACGTCGTCGCTAGGTACTTCGCCACCCTCACAGCTGCTGTCCAGTGAACAGGACGGTGTCTCCCTGGCGCAACAAAGCGCGCAAGAACGCTGAGAGGGAAGGCGAGGTCCGGGCGAGTACAAGTCATCAGGTACATGAGGCAACCCACAAGCTCTGCGTAGGGACCACTAGGCTCGAACGGCTCGTCAGGAAAGGGTCCAGTGAGTCTGTGGTCAACAGCAAGAGGTGTGCGCTGTACTGTGGAGTGCTGAAGCCCGAACCGCTGAAGGACCTGCTGCACCATGTGCGACTGTGAAAGTGTAATGGTGCGAGCAGCTCTGTCCCTGGTGATCTGCAGGCCAAGGTAGTGGCGCAGCTCACCAAGATCAGTGCAGGTGTGTCTCTTCTGCAGTTCGGACTTCACGTGTGCTAAAGCAACCCTGTCAGGGGTGGCGAAAACAAGGTCGTCAACGTAGACCAGAACAAAGAAAGGTGTGGGGCCACGACGAACGAACAGCGACGGGTCAGCAGAAGACGGCTGGAACCCAAGGTCAGACAGGGTAGAACGCAGGGTGTCGTGCCACTCACGAGGAGCCTGACGAAGACCGTAAACCGGTCGCCTCAGCCTCCACTGGGTCCCAGGAGGGAAAGAGCCAGTGAAGGCAGAGGGACGACGCAACCAGACCTCCTCGTGAAGACTGCCCTGAAGGAAAGCAGTAGAGAAGTCGAGAGAGTGTAACTCGTAGTCTCTCTGTGCTGCTACGTGTAGTAACACCCGAAGAGTGGTCATCTTCGGGGTGGACGCGAAGGTCTGAAAGAAGTCAACTCCCTCGCGCTGACTGAAACCTCTAGCCACGTAGCGTGCCTTGAAGACCGGAGGAGATCCCGGTGGCCGCTTCACCCTGTAGATCCACATGCCGTCGACTACGTTCGCCCCCGGAGGGGGAACCTCATCGACGTAGGTGCCTGTGGATCTGTAGGAGGCCATCTCTGCGTCCATGGCAGCTCTCCACTGAGAGGCCCAAGACCCTGACACTGCCTCAGCGTAAGTGCGAGGAGTCGGAATGTCAAGGGCGTCGGGGTCACCCTCAGGGGCGAGGAGCATGGCACAGAGATGAGGGGAAGCGGCCGCCAGGAACTCTAGCTCAAACTGCCTGTCCTCTAGGGCGTCACAGCCAAGGGCAGACACACCCCCGACGGCCAGAGGACTGGAAGGAGGAGCAGCCACAAGAGCGGTGGCGAAGTCAAGGCGGCGGGTAGAGGCAAAGTCAGTGACTGCGGCAGTAAGAGCGGACACAGAGGACACAGAGGCACGAGGGTGAGTAACAAGCGAGGCGAGAACACGAGAGAGAAGAGGACGGTACGTGCGGTAGTAGTCAGTGACAGGAGTAGGGAGCGACGCAGTGAGGGCCGACTCAGGAGGAGACGGAAGCACAGACGGAGACGGACGAGGTGGACTAGAACGAAGTAAGGCAGTACGAAGGTCAGTGAAGGGAACAGGAGACGAGGGACGAGCACGAGGGGAGCGACGAGAGGCCCAAGTCTGAGAAGGAGGAGGGGACAACGAAGACTGAGAACGAGGGAAAACAGCGGGAGAGGGGTCAGGAGGAGGAAGCGGAGGACCAGAGACGGGAGGAGAGGGGGAGGAGGAAGGAGAGGGAGAGGGGAGACCAAGGGTCCGAAGACCCGAGACAGGAGGAGGAGACGGCAGCTGCTGCTGCTGCGGCTGCTGCGGCTGCTGCTGCTCCAGCGGCTGCTGCTGTCGCTCCTGCTCCTCGAGCCGCTGCAACTCTCTCTCCTCTCTCTCCAACTCCAGCTGCTCCTCACGAGCACGGCGAACACGAGCCTGGAACCTGGTCGGGTAGGGGTGGGGGGAAGGAGTAGTGTCCGGGGCAGCGGCAGCCCCAGAGTCGACCTCCGAAGCACCAAGCACACCACCCCCAGAGGCAGCACCAACACCAGCTCCAGACCCAGGCTCTCCAGAAACCGAAGGGACACCCTCACCCCCAGACGCAGCACCCCCAGACTCCGCACCAGCACCCCCAGACTCCGCACGACCAGTACCAGCCCCCGGAAGACAAGAGTCCTCTGCAACCCGCGGCTCAGCTCCAACTCCAGCACCCCCAGAACCAGAGACCTGTACAGGGACAGTCGCAGGACCAACCTCTCGAGAGGGAGCACCTGCAGGAGGCGGCGAGGAAGACTGTGGGGAGGGAGGCTGTACAGGGGGGGCTACCGAAGGGGGAGGGCTAGCCTGAGACACACCAGACGGGGCTGGACCAGGGGGGGGAGGCTGTACCGGGGGAGCAGGCGGGGGAGCGGCGGTCAGGAAGAGAGGGGGGGGAGGGACCGGGAGACCTCGACTGGGGTACCTGACGTAGTAGGGGGTGGACTCCTCGAAACGGACGTCACGGGAGTCAAAGAACCGGTGAGAGGGAGGGTGGTAAAAGGTGAAGTCAGAGGAGTCCGCAGGGAAACCAAGGAAGACACAAGGAACGGCGCGAGGCGAGAGCTTGTCCGCGGAGGTGTCGCGGACAAGAGCCAAGCACCCCCAGACACGAAACCTCGACGCGACACCAGGGGACCCTGTCCAAAGACTGGTCGGTGAAGCCTCCGGCCGAGAGACGCGTGGCCAGAGGTTCAGCTGGTGCGCGGCGTACCTGACTGCGTATGGCCACAGGAAATGGGGGGCACGGGCGTGAGTCAAGGAGGTGCGGGCAATCTCCATGACCAGGCCTATGCGACGCTCAGCAACCCCATTCTGCTGTGGGGACTCCGGAAGCGTCCAGGACTGACGAATGCCCTGTTCGCGACAGAATCCAGCGAGAATGCCGGAGCGAAACTCGCCCCCGCGGTCGGAGTGGAGACAGCTGACACGACGACCACGAGTGTCCTGGGTGGTAAGCAACCACCTGATCAGCGTAGAAGTCACCTCAGACTTCCTCGCCAGGGGGAACACTGTGGTGTAGCGGGAGTAGTCGTCAACTACTACAAAAAAGAAACGCTCACGCTCAGGGCCAGGGCGAGGAGAGGGGCCCCAGACGTCCAAGTGCAGCGTCTCAAAAGGCTCGGTGGCCGGACGAAGGGAGGAGGAGTGAGGGGTGGCACGCAGCCTACCCTCGACGCAAGGACCGCACGGTGGTGCAAGGGACGGCGGCAGCGACGGCAAGACACGCGGGAGACCTAAGACCAGACGCTGACTAGACATAGCACGCAGACGTGGAAGAGAAGGGTGTCCCATCCGGTGGTGCCACAGAACGGTGGGGTGGGCAAGCGACCGACAGGAGCAAGACGCAGCGACTGGACTGGACGCGACAACCTGAGGGGACGGAACCACCTGGTGAGACGCAGGGAGGAGACTAGGGGGAGGGACAGGAACTGGGAGGAGTGGCTGCTGCGACGGCGGCCGCTGTGGCTGCGGCTGCGGCGGCCGCTGCGGCTGCTGCTGCTGCTGCTGCTGCGGCTGCTGCTGCTGCTGCTGCGGCTGCTGCTGCTGCTGCAGTCGCTGCTGAGCGCGCGGGCGAGTGTGAAGAGTGTAGAGACCGGAGCCCGGCTCAGCAGCAAAAGTGGCGAGGGGCTGGTAAGAGTCCCCGTCAACACACACCGCAGTCTCTCCAGAAGGCTCAAACCACACACCCACGTGCTGACTCACGAGGGGTCGCACGCCCACCAAGTTCCGGGAGAACGAGGGGACGTGAAACCCAGTGAGAGACCCAGAAGGAGCAGCCGGACACGGCAAGGTGGTAGTGTGACGCGCGGTGACTGGTCCCGAAGTGGGATCAGCCAGCGCCACAGAAACAGGCGCAGGAAGAGGCGTAAGTGTCGTGCTGTCACGAAAGAAGCAGTGAGAGGCTCCAGAGTCCAGCGTGAACGACAGCGAACCGTCCTCTGAGGTAGCCGCTGGACTAGAGTCTACACAAGAACCTACACTAGCAACAGGCAACTGAGCAAGGCTAGCACCTAAGCTAACAACACCAGAGTAAGCAGAGTCAGAAACACTAGAGTCAACAACAGCATACATAGCATGGGGAGTACCAATCAGATCAACTAACTGCTCAGCAGACATGCCCCACAGAGCGGAGCCGTAGCGCTGAACAAGAGGCAGCCAGTCAGGGGCAGGAGCACCAACCCCGTAGACCAAACGAACCGTGTCAGTGAGCTGAGCAAAGCACTGACCAGGGGGGTGAAACCGGCCACAAGGGTGGCCACGACGAGGGCCTGTCAGAACCTGGTAGGTGCAGGGAGTGTAAGCAGCACCACGCTGGGTCTGACGCAGCCCCGACCCTGGAGCCAGCTGCTGCCGCTGCTGCTGCTGAGGCTGCTGGGAGGAGAGGGGCTGCTGGTGCTGCAGAAGCTGCTGCTGACGCTGAGCCTGGTACCACGCCGCTGCTCCACCAACCGGGGCAGGAAGTACAGGAGGCGACTGACGAACTCGGGCGTCGCCACCACTAGCAGGCGCAGTGGAGTCACCAGTCACTGCACGAGGCGCCTCTCCAGGCCCTGAACCTCCACCGCCGCCAGGCGCAACGCCACCTCCACTACCTCCGCCTCCACCTCCACTACCACCACCAGAACCGCCTTTCTTGCCACTCCTACCGCGGGACCGCGACGCAGTCGTAACAGCAGCTGCAGTCGCGTCAGTAGCGGCAGTGGCAAGTGAGGCAGTAAAGGTGGGTAACTGCGGGACTGTGCACCCGTGGAAGAGTGGGGGGGGCACAGCACCAGAGGCAGCGGCTACCGAGCGAAGGTTGCTCTCGACGTCCTTGAGTGTAGACTCAAGGACATCGACTGTGAGCTCACTAGGGTGCTTCAGCAGAAGCGCGTCGCGAACGGAGGCAAGGCGGTCAGGGAGGCTAGTGGCGATGAAATAGATAGTAATCGCCATAGGGGGAGGAAGCAGTGCAAGCTGTGCCTCAGTGCAAGCAGCGCGGTAACTAGCGTCGAGCGAGCGGAGGTGAGCGATCAAGTCAGCAGAGCGCTCAAAAGACGCTAGGTCAGGAAACAGGAACGGGAGGAACAGGCGGCCAAGAGAGACAGCAGCGGGAGAAGAGTAGCGGGCCTTAATCGCAGTGAGGTACTCAGCAGCGGTGCGAACCTGAGTGAAGTGAACCTCCTCAGACTCAGGGAGGAGGCTGCTGAGCGCGATGCAGGCCGCAGCGTCACGTGACGTCCAAGCCGTCTGGTCAGCTCGCTGAGTGGCAAAGCGGGCTCTAGCGGCGTCGTCAGGGGCAGGTCCTAAAGGCGTAGGGTCGGAGGGCGCAGGTAGGGCACCAGTAGCGTGCGCCCAGAGGGTCTCGCCTGCCTGGACCTGACTCTCTAACAGACGGCGAGCACGAAGAAGCCAGACGGAAAAATCAAGAGGTCTACCGTCAGCGTCGAAACGAAGCACACGCGGAGTCGCCATAGCGAGAACTAACGCTAGGGATACAGTGGCAGCGGAAGAGCAGGCTAGGGTTAAGACGACGGGCTGGGGAAAGGGGCGAGCCGCTACAGGGGAAAGGGCGGGCCGCTACAGGAGGGGAAGGGGCGGGCCGTGACGAGGTAAAGGACGGGCGGGACGCGACGGGGGGAAAGGGACCCAACGGGGGGAAAGGGACCCAACGGGGGGGAAAGGACGGGCGGGATGCGACGGGGGGGAAAGGGGCACGACGAGGGGAAAGGACGGGCGGGACGCGACGGGGGGAAAGGGACGCGACGAGGGGGGAAGGGCGGGGAGGACGCGACGGGGGGAAAGGGACGCGACCAGGGGGGAAAGGGCGGGCAGGACGTGACAGGGGGAAAGGGACGCGACGAGGGGGAAAGGGCGGGGAGGACGCGACGGGGGGAAAGGGACGCGACGAGGGGGAAAGGGCGGGCAGGACGCGACGGGGGGAAAGGGACGCGACGAGGGGGAAAGGACGGGCAGGACGCGACGGGGGGAAAAGGCGCGACGCGACGGGGGGAATGGGCGGCGACGCGACGGGGGGAACGGGCGCGACACGACGTGGGGGGGGAACGCGATGCGACGGGGGGTAAGGGCGGGCGCTACGGAACGAGGGGAACGGGTGGCGCGGACGGGCGCTAGGATTGGCGCTAGGCTCGGCACTACGCGCGGTAACAACGGAACCGGGACGAATGAGAGCTAGGATCAGGCTCGGGAGGCTCGAACGGAGAACGGAGGAACGGGATCCCACAGGATCCTAACCTAACTGATACCATGTCAAAATGAAGAATGGATGATGCATTGATGTTGGTTGGGGTACATATAGCTAACCCTAAGTTTTGTACCCCCTAAGACAAACCTCACTATAGGCTACAACATTTGACAATTAGACCATACGGTCCGGGTCGGAAATGGCTTGGACCATACGGTCCAGGTCGGAAATGGCTTGGACCATACGGTCCGGGTCGGAAATGGCTTGGACCATACGGTCCGGGTCGGAAATGGCTTGGACCATACGGTCCGGGTCGGAAATGGCTTTTTGCTACATCTTGCCATCTCGGACACAGGTATGAAGAGCTGGAGAGTCAAATGCCTAATTATGTGCCCCATGACATCCCAGTACATTGTTTTCTATTGGGGAAACTGCCCGAAACATTCGACACCTGCCCGCCCTCAACACCACTACACCTCCATGCCTTCCTCGGCCGTGCTTTCTCACTCAACTTCACATCCACATTCGATATAGTCACCCCCTTTATGGGCTGCTCCGCTAACCCTTCTACCTTCACAACCCGATCGATATTATCTCCTGTAAGTCCGTCTACAGTAATGTCTTGGATGATTGGCAGTGCGTGAGGGTCGAACCCGGGAGGATCCCCGTGGCCAAAGAAAGAGGTGATGGTGAAAGCTACTTTCACGTCCTGTACATAAGTGCGAATGAATGAAACACTGTAGATGGGATGGAGGGTGGGAGGTAGGCAGGTGCGTGGCACAAGGGAATGGGAGAGAGAAAGAGGTGATGGTGAAAGCTACTTTCACATCCTGTACATAAGTGCGAATGAATGATACACTGTATGGGAAGCAAAGGGGCACGTGGGAGACGGGCAGGTGGGTGGCATGGGGAAAAGGGAGAGGGAAGGGCATGAGCGGAAGCAAGAGAACGGGTGGGAGAAGGGGGGTTGGCACAAAGAAAGTGGGAGACAGAAGAGCAGTGGGAGCAGGGAGTTTGAAGGGCAACGAGAAAACAAGAGATGACGGATGAAGAAGAAAGGAGAGGAGGCGTGACTGACGATAAGTACATTGCCTGCCTTCAATTGTGGAAGTGGGGCGCTGGGGCATTGGGGTGGCGAATCAAGAGAAGCAGAAGTGCAGGCATGGAAGCAGCATGGAAGCAGCATGGAAGCAGGCACGGAAACAGGCATGGCGATAAGGGTTGAAAGAGTGACAAAACGCAAGGGGGGGAAAGAGGAGGGGCTGCATTGGCAATGGCACCAACACATGCTGGATCACAGTGCATAGGCGGCACACAATAGAAACAACAGGGAGGGATACCACAACGCCACAGTAATAAAAACAGCCAGAAGGTCTCACTTCTTGACGAACCCCCCTCGTCCGGCGGCGGATTTGATCCGGATGCCCACGTCAGCACCGAGCACACGGCAGTCGTCAAACCTCACTCTCTGCACACCGCCACTCATCTCACTGCCGATTGATAGGCCCACGCCGCCACTGCCAGGCGGCACCTGCTCATTCATGCGCACATACGAGTGAGGGAGTGAAGAAAAACGCACTAACTGATGTGGCACACACAGTCAGCAGCACTGCGAACTCGGCAGTCCTCAAATGTGACTCTCTGCACGAGAGAGAGAGTGGAGGACCCTCAAATGTGACTCTCTGCACGAGAGAGAGAGTGGAGGACCCTCAAATGTGACTCTCTGCACGAGAGAGAGAGTGGAGGACCCTCAAATGTGACTCTCTGCACGAGAGAGAGAGTGGAGGACCCTCAAATGTGACTCTCTACTCTTCTCGCTGCCGATTGAGAGACCCTCCCACGACGCCACTGCCAGGTGGCACCTTGCTGTCCCACCCGGGGTGAACAGGGTGATTGGAAAGGTGTGATGTGAACAGAAAGGTGTGAATATGCTGAGAGGTGCCACCAATATACAGAAGGTGTGGCAAGGGGCGTGCCTCATGATGGAACATGACTCGGATCCGAATCATCCTGTATCATGGACGACGATGTGCTGTGATGGGCGGTGATGGGTGGTGATGGGCGGTGATGGGCGGTGATGGGCAATGATGGGCAATGATGGGCAATGATGGGCAATGATGGGCGATGATGGGCAATGATGGGCGATGATGGGCAATGATGGGCAATGATGGGCAATGATGGGCAATGATGGGCGATGATGGGCAATGATGGGCGATGATGGGCAGGGGGGTGGGTGTTTTAACCATGGTGGTCCCATCCGCTCTTTGCAATGAGGGAGACAGAGGGAGACAGAAGCACACACTCACTCACACCCACCCACCTGCACGGTGACTCGGCGAATGGTGATATCGGCAGAAGGTGCAGGGGGGTGGGCGTTGTACCCGTACTGGTCCCATCCGCTCTTTATTGCCACTGCGTTGTCCCCCGTGCACAGTGACTCGGCACACGGAGATGTCGGCAGTGGGAGCAGGCAGCAAGGAGTCAAGCCTTGACCCTATACAATGAACGGAAGGAGGGAGAAAGGGAGGAGGAACGGGACCAACAGCACCCACCTGCACGGTGACTCGGCGAACGGTGATGTCAGCAGAGGGCGCAGGAGGGTGGGCGTTGTACCCATAGTGGTCACAAACACTCCTTACTACTATGTCAGAGAGAGGGAGAGAGGAGAGAAGCTCGCAGTACAATCCCACACACACACACACCTGTACAGTGACTCGCCGCACGGTGATGTCAGCAGAGGGCGCAGGGGGGTGGGCGTTGTACCCGTACTGGTCCCATCCGCTCTTTACAATGAGGGAGACAGCAGCACACACCCACACACACACACCTGCACAGTGACTCGGCGCACTGTGATATCAGCAGAGGGCGCAGCAGGGTGGGCGTTGTACCCGTACTGGTCCCATCCGCTCTTTATTGCCACGGCATCATCCCCCGTGCTGATGTGGCAGTCCTCTATAAGCACGTGCGTGCTGGAGTCTGGAGGTCATGGACGGGGAAGGTGTGGGATGATAGACTGTGACAGCCTGCCTGCACTATCATCCCCTGTGCTGACGTGGCAGTACTCTATAAGCACGTGCGTGCTAAGGTCTGGAGGGGAAGGGGGCGGGACGAATGGATGTGATAGGCTGATCCACCATCCCTCCTGCTGACGTGGCAGTTCAATGAACGCACATGCTGTCGTGGTGATAATTTATGATTCTTTGAGCAGATATTGACGCGGCACCTGTTTAATGACACTGCTACCACACTCTATGGGTTCATTATTTTGAAATGTCTCACAACTAGACGTCTCAGAACTCGATACTGAGACGTCTCGAAAATAGACGTGGCTGCTATATAGATATTGGCAGTGGTACCACTCTCTACTCTCTAAGCCAACACAACTGAACCATCAAGAGAAAAGCCGCTCACCTGGATCAATGCCGTCTGTCTGCCTGACATTGCTGGGAGCGGTGATGGTGGACAGAGGGAGAGAGAAGAGAGAAGAGAGAACAGGAGAGAGGGAGGAGGGAAGAGAGGGAAACGAGAAGCGAAGGAAAGTGAGAAAAGCCGCTCACCTGGATCAATGCCGTCTGTCTGCCTGACATTGCTGGGAGCGGTGATGGTGGACAGAGGGAGAGAGAAGAGAGAAGAGAGAACAGGAGAGAGGGAGGAGGGAAGAGAGGGAAACGAGAAGCGAAGGAAAGTGAGAAAAGCCGCTCACCTGGATCAATGCCGTCTGTCTGCCTGACATTGCTGGGAGCGGTGATGGTGGACAGAGGGAGAGAGAAGAGAGAAGAGAGAACAGGAGAGAGGGAGGAGGGAAGAGAGGGAAACGAGAAGCGAAGGAAAGTGAGAAAAGCCGCTCACCTGGATCAATGCCGTCTGTCTGCCTGACATTGCTGGGAGCGGTGATGGTGGACAGAGGGAGAGAGAAGAGAGAAGAGAGAACAGGAGAGAGGGAGGAGGGAAGAGAGGGAAACGAGAAGCGAAGGAAAGTGAGAAAAGCCGCTCACCTGGATCAATGCCGTCTGTCTGCCTGACATTGCTGGGAGCGGTGATGGTGAGATGGCGGAAGGAGAGGCGGGAGGAGTAGAGGGGGTGAAAGAGAGAAGAGAGGGGGTGAACAGGAGGAGAGAAGAGAGGGAAGAGATAAACGAAAAGAGAGGGGATGTGAGATCAATCTCTTACCAGGGTCGATGCCATCAGTCTGTCTGACGTTGCTGGGGCAAGAGATGGTGAGATGGCGGAAGGAGAGGCGGGAGGAGTAGAGGGGGCGGATGAAGAGAGAGGAGAGAACAGAGGGAGGATATAAACGAGAAGAGAGAATATACAAGGGAGGGGATGCGAGAGCACAGTCACTCACCTGGGTCTATCCCGTCTGTCTGTCTGATGGTGCTAGGGCAAGTGATGGTGAGAAGGCGGAAGGAGAGGCGGGAGGAGTAGAGGGGGCGGATGAACCAGAAGGGCGGGGATGCAAGAGCACAGCCGCTCACCTGGATCAATTCTGTCTGTCTGTCTGACGTTGCTAGGAGCGGTGAAGGTGAAAGGAGCGAGGTGGTAGAAGTGAGGCGAGAAGAGAAGGGATGAGATGCAAGAGCACAGCCTCTCACCTGGATCAATTCCGTCTGTCTGTCTAACGGTGCTGGGAGCGGTGATGGTGAGATGGCGGAAGGAGAGGCGGGAGGAGTAGAGCGGGCGGATGAACCAGAAGGGCGCGTTCACCAGCGTCAAATGAGAGACTGCCACGTGGCAGCTGCTCTGGATCTCTAGCACATGAGGTCGCATGTGGTGCAGGCTCTTCCTCTCCATCGCTTCCCACCACGGCCTCCCGTTGCCATCAATCGTCCCGTTCTCTCCTGTGAAATGACAAGTCGAGAGGTTGAGACACAAGCAGCTTTTGAGACGACTTGAAAGGCATGTGGTGCCTCATGCCATGTCCCAATGTTGTGCAGGCTCTTCCTCTCCATCGCTTCCCACCACGGCCTCCCGTTGCCATCAATCGTCCCGTTCTCTCCTGTGAAATGACAAGTTGAGAGGATGAGACAAAGGCGGCATTTGAGTCGACTCAAGAGGCATGTGGTGCAGGCTCGTCCTCTCCATCAATTCCCAGCACGGCCTCAAGTTGCTGTCAATCGTCCCGTTCTCTCCTGTAGAAACACAGTGGTCGAGAGGCAATAATAGGAAAGTTTTTCTCTTCGCCAGGCACATGCCATGACCCCATGTGGTGCAGGCTCTTCCTATCCATTGCTTCCCACCACGGCCTCCCATTGCCATTGATTGTCCCGTTCTCTCCTGGGGAAGGTAAGCAAACGGGTTTTGAGATAAAAGCAACTTTTGCGTCGACTCAAGAGGCTTGTGTGGTGCAGGCTCTTTCTCTCCATCGCTTCCCACTACGGCCTCCCATTGCCCATCAACCGTCCCGTTCTCTTTTGGGGAAGAAAAGTGAAGAGGAGCAGATAGTAAAGATAATACAAGTGATGATGACAAAGCATACTTTTTCTTCGTCAGGCACAAGCCTAGGTGGTGGGTGGGAGCACAAGCGTCGACAACCACTGACCCGTTATAAGCACATCCGTGACGTTGTAAGCGAGTATGAGGCTGTGGTGACGTGGCCCAGGTTCTAGCTCTCTCCCTGGCCCATACGTGGGGGGCTGCGGCACCAGGGGGTAGTCGGGCATGTGCTGTGAGAGTGGGAGGGGGAGAAGAGGGTCAGCCAGCCGCACTTTGTGGTGGCTTTTGAGACGTCTCAAAAACCAGGCGCAGGCCCAGGTTCAGCTCTCGCCCTGGCCCGTACGTTGGGGGCTGCGGCACCAGAGGGTAGTCGCGCATGTGCTGTGAAGGAGGGAGAAGCGGGGGGGGGATGCAGGGTGGACCGTGGGAACGAGTTGCACAGGTGCTATGTGGTGAATTGCGGTGCAATGCAGTGCAGAGTACTGCACTGTTAAAAAAGACTTACAGGGCTGGCCAGTAGAAGCGAAGTCATGTGATTGGTGAGGTTGATTGAACAGAATGTCATGGAATTCAGCGGTGTAATATGGTGAAGTGTGGTGGAACAACTTACAGGGCTAGCCAGTAGAATTGCGCCTTGTTCAAGAAACAGAGTCATGTGACTGGTGAGGTTGAAAGGACCAGTCAGCCAGGTGCCACGTGGCACCACCAGCGTGGCCCCCAGTGCCACGTCAGCATCGCCTCTGCCCTCCACTGATTGGGCGGCCACCAGCGACTGTACCGCACCGATAGCCGCTCGGAATGCAGCAGTGTTATCAGTGGTGCCGTCTGGTACTGCATTGAAAGATGCCAGGCTGAGACTGTGTATATTGTGGAGGGGGACATAACGGAGAGAGGGGAAAGGAGTGAGAGCGAGCGCCTGGAATGCGGCAGTGTTGTCAGTGGTGCTGTCCGGTACTGTGTTGAATGATGCTAGGCTGAGTCTGCTGGGGATGGGCTTGGGGAGGGCGTAGGAGAGATTAGTCGAAGAGAATAGGGGCGGAGTGCCAAGGATTTGGGCGTAACGGAAACGAGCAAGAGGGAGAGGCTGGAATGCGGTAGTGTTATCAGTGGTTCCGTGCGGTACTGCGCTGAAGAACGCTAGGTTGAGACTGTTGGGGATGGGGCGGGATAGGAGGGAGAAGAGAAAGGAGAGAGTGAAGAGAATGGGGATGCGATGATATGGAAATGAGGTGCGAGAGGTAAGGGAGAGTAAGAGAGGGTAAGAGAGAGTGAGAGAGAAGGTGTCTCGAGCTAGCAAAGCGAGCAAAAAAAGGATATGAGAAAGAGGTTAGAGCGGTAAGAAATGGGCGGCGGGGGACGGCAGGGATGGGAGACGGTGATCGCCAACTCGCGTTTTGGCACCTCTTAACTACTCTTTTGACACGTCTTAAAGCAGACACGTCAATGATCCGCAACTCACGTTTCTGCTCGACGGTGGATCAGTGGCGCGTTCCCCGCAGATTCCGCGCACTTTGGAACGAAAACTGACACGCGATTCGACCCTATCATTTGATCTCCTCTCGGACCAGATTCGACATTCGCTGATTCGCTTTCTGTCGATCCGTACGATGCAGACTCTTCCGTACGTCCGATCCCATCCACCGTTACAGTCTCTGTACGGCCCAGATTGGTTTCCCCGTCGTTCCCAGTTGTGGGAAGATCTACACTAGCTGGATTCGAAGCTGACGTGGCCGTTACGTGGTTGTGAATTGGAGGGAGAGAGGAGAATGACATCGGGCCGAGAATGACAAGAGCGGCGAGCGACGCGAGTGCGACGATCCAACGCGACGATCTCAGCGACGGGGCCGCCATCGCCGCTGCGACACATGCCTCGATTCTCTGGACCGCGTCGTGCGGTACACAGTTGGATTGATCGTGGGCCTTGGCAGGGCTTGCTCGCATCTGGCCGAGATCCCTATCGCTCGTTTCCTATGTACCAATAGAGCGCAGTCCAAATTTGGAATTCAGCTCTTTCTGCTCCGTTGCAATTGCATTTTTTCCAAAAAAACAATACCAAGGCTTACGATAAGACAACCCCAAGGCGCTACACTTGATAGAAAAATGTCCATTAATTATTTCCGTGAAACCTGTAAAATACATTTCGTTATGTGGCGAACCATCAACTGCCGAGCATCACACCCCGTAAAACAATCCCCAGTCGTATGTCAGAAATGCTATGCTGCACCTGATTCAGAGGACAGTCAACAGACGATCAGAAGTGAATTCTACAGGTGAATAAGAGAAAAGTCAGCTTCCAGCATGCGATGACGAAGTTACGGACGATGAGGAGTCGTCCAGATAACAGCCACGCGGTAGGCTGCTATTTAGTCCCTGTTACCAGACAACGTTAGTACTCCCAATCCGCGACGACGGGAAGGTGTTAGTAATCGCACGAATGCCTGTTACTCGCACGCCGCGACGACGCGGATAGAGTTTCTCCCGTCGCCCAGAAAGCCGCATTCCACCGTCGCGAAGTTTAAAACGCGAGAAATCCGCTTCGCCGTGGCGCCTGCGCCGGCGCATGACCCGCAGGCGCCGCGCCCGTTGCGCCGCTTCCGCGGCGTCGGAGGCGGGCATGCCGCCGGATGCTGCGGCAGCTGATACTCTCGGCCACGTGGCGTACTCTGCACGTCGGTGCCATCCTCTCGTGTCGCCTTTGCTAGCGGGGACGCACACGCAATTAACGCCGCAATCGAATCTCCTGTCGACTTGGCGGTTACGCGGCTGTCGGCCGCAGAGTCCTCGGCGGCGGACGCGGCGGCGGTGGGCGCGGTAATTATACTAGCAGGTGGGAGTGAAATAGCATGATCGTTTCCCTCCACGTTCATTCCGCGGTCCCCATTGGCGGTGAGAGCTCCATCAGATGGTTCCCGAAAACACCGCACGGCGAGCGGCATTGTTGTTGCTCGCTTGAAGCCAACAGGGCAATTCACGAGCTTCCGTTCCAAATTATGTCGACAGTAGTCACGCCGATAGCGCAGTCGGTCTGGAAAACCTCACAGGAGTGAGTCGCGTGAAAAAAAATACTTTCAATCTCAGTTGCTTCATGTAAAAGGGACACTTTCAAGCTCCACAAGGGGCGGCGTGACGTGGGGCTGTTGTGTTGGTGTAAGAACAAGGTCGAGCAAGCAAGCCGCGAAAAACAAGGGTTTGAATGAAACCTCGCGCCGCGAGGGAGGAACGAAATGCACGACTTATTTACCCAAAATGCGCTGAACAATGACCCCCCGTTTGATCCTCTGCAATTCGCCAGAACTAGTGCAAAGAACTTGCCCTACAAACAACCACTAGTGTTCTCAAGGAACTCGTTTTGGTTCCTCCAAGAGTGCAAATGGAGCATGTTCTGCTTTGCTTGAGGCATGGGCGATGGCGTGCGCTGCCATTTTACGGGTGTGAGGTGGGAGTGGAAACGAGGAAAGGAAAGATGCGAGAAGAGGGCGCACTCGGCTGTATCTCATGCTTACATACACTCCGTGACGCATAAAATCAAGAGCAAATGCATGAGTATTGCAAGCGTATGTACAGTTCACTGTGCTTGCACCGTTGCGCAATTTTTGCTGATAATTGTACAAGGACATGTGAAGCTGGCTTACGGAAAGAACTGTTTGCGACTGTACCAAGGAAAGACAACACAGACAAGCCTTACAGACCTTGGGTTCTGATATATTCGTAACCCAACTACGGTATGGGGGTTCGATCTGCCAGTGAGAGTTTCGTGACTGACATGCATCAGAGTAACTGGAAAACGATTAAGAGCGAAAAATGCATTGGGGTATTGTGCAGTGGAGGGCTGGAGAGCTTGAGTTCCTGGTGGGACTGGACTGGATATTCCGCGAGGGACTGAGAGGGGGAGTTAGAGAGGGGGAGTGAGTGAGGGGGGGGAAGATCTGCCTGGAGTTGTGCTATGTCGCATCAGCAGCAGAAAGCAGCGAAACAGTGGTGTACAGAAACTGGTGGCTGGTGTTGGGAGTTACGAAATACACACGAGCCTGTTGACGTAAGGGAAATACACCTAACCACCGCTATTTTCTTTCGGTCTATTTTCAACCCCCACGTGCGCAAAGGGGTATGCACCCCTCAAACATTTTTTACCAAGGGTTGTGTCGGACGTCATACGCTCTACGCAGAGTTAGTTCCTGACTCCTGAAAGCTGCGCAATGGGATGCGCAACAGGAAGCAGACTCCACACGAGCGGAAATTGTCTTACACTCGCCCGATTAAAATCTCCAGCGTCCAGCATTTGACGTCATTCGTAGTCCCCCATACCGAGGTTTCTAACAGAAAACCCCGAAAGCTGGGCAGGGTTTATATGAAAATCGGGAACAGTGCCAAGGTGGGAAGTTGAAAATAGCGGTGGCTAGGTGTACAGGCTGAACGTAAGCCAGCACTCCGAATCTCAAATTGCCCCTCGACACGTCAGCGACGCAATGATCGTGCATTAAATATCTTGGCCATCAGGAAGTATCCCATACTCGTTTTGGCCCTATTTTGGAGATTCTGTTTAGTACACGATATTACAATGATACTTTCCTGTTCTGTTACAATCAAACCTATAACCAGTGGCGATAAGGAAGTGTACAAAGAAAAGGAGGGGCGTAGAAGACAATTTACCACATCATAGAACAAAGGGCTTCTTTTCTACTCTCTGGAAGTCTAGTATCCAAGTGAATACGGCATCAGATCAAGAATGGATAAAGGTTTCCCCAACATGTCACATGACAATATGCTATGTCGAGCCCGATTTTGAGAAGGCATGGGCCATGACATGGCATGGCCTGAGATGGCATGGCGTGGACTGATGGTGTGCTATCAACCAGTAAAATGCGGAGATACCGTAAGCTCAGATCAAACGAGAGCAGAGATGGAGTGATGCGATGATCCTACACACGAGGAGAGACGTTTGTGTTTGTGGTACGGTAGATTGATTGGTATGTTGGGACCAGCCTAGAGCACAGTGCAGATCACAGTGCACAGCTTAGAGAAGAACTCTTATAGAGGCTCCTCGCGTTCAAAGAAGCGTTAGAGGTGCCAGAGCTGTTGCGCAGCAACGTGCGGCACACCAGGAGAGACGTTTGTGATAATAATGATTGGTATTTCAATACAGCCTAGAGCACAGTGCAGAGCTGAATGGAACGTTAAATGCAAAGGTACGTGCCAAGCTTAGAGAAGAGCCCTCATAGCAGCTTCTTGCGCTCGAAGAAGCGCTTGAGATGCCATAACTGTAGCGCAGCGACGGTGCCGACTTCAAATACGTCTCAAAAGCAGCGCTTTCATGATAGCTTCTTGCTCTCATAGCAGCTTTTTGCGCTCGAAGAAGCGCTTGAGGTGCCAGAACTGTAGCGCAGCGATGGCGCCGCATACGAGGAGAGAGCCCACGCTGAGCCACGCCACGTACGCGTGTGTCTCTTCCGCCTTCATCCTCATTGTCAACTCCCTGCACAAGCACAAGGGAGTGAGGGAACGGAAGATCAGGGACATACAGGACGAGACGTCACGTTGAGCCACGCCACGTACGTGTGCGTCTCCTCCGCCTTCATCCTCATTGTCAGCTCCCTGCAAGTCCACAGGGAGAGGGGGGTGGACGGTGAGGGAAGGGAAAGACGAGGAGAGAGCCCACGCTGAGCCATGCCACGTACGCATGTGTCTCCTCCGCCTTCATCCTCATTGTCAACTCCCTGCACAAGCACAAGGGAGTGAGGGAACGGAAGGTCGGGGACATACAGGACGAGACGTCACGCTGAGCCACGCCACGTATGCGTGTGTCTCCTCCTCCGCCTTCATCCTCATCACTAGCTCCCTGCTCGTGGAGTGGAGGAGAGCACATTAAGTCGACTCGGAAAGAAAACACAAAGAGCAACACCAGACTAAGCCACGGCACATATGTGTCTGTCTCCTGTGTCTTCATTCTCAAAATTAGCTCCCTGGAAACGGAGGGGAGAGGGCGTGGAAGTACATGGGGGGAGGACAAACACGAGGAGAGGCGCCACACTGAGCCATGACAATGAGTGCGTCTCGTCTGTTTTCATCCCCAACATTAGCTTCCTGCCTGTGCGCAGAAGGTCGTTTTTGAGGCGCCTCAAAAACGACCTCAGTGCACGCGGTTTTCATCCCCAACATTAACTTCCTGCCTGTGCGCAGAAGGAGCGGAAGGAATAAGGTTAAGGAAGATGAAATACACATAGAAGAGACACCACACCGAGCCCTCCCGTTCCTTATATCAAACTGTTTGAAGATGCCTTACAATCTGTCAAGGATATGGGTGATTTAGACGAGTAAAAAAAACATATAATATAAAGCTTGTTACCTGTAGAACATTCTCGCTAATTTAATATACAGCTTCGTCTATATAGGCAGTGGTTGTGCAATTATTGGCGCCAGCCTCCCTTGTTCCCATTCCCCTTCTCCTTCCCCACCCCATCCATCCACCCTTCCCCTTCCTCTCACCGTTCACGGACTAAGCTCATTTCCTGCAACACCTTGCTGATAGCACCCTCTAATCAATGCAGCTCACCCCCCTCCTCCTACTTCCTATTCCCCTTGCCCACTTCCCCAACCCACCCCCACCCCCACCCCCACCCCCATCCCCATCCCCACCCTCAACCCCGGCCCCATCCCTCCTCATCCCCTCCCCCCATCTCACCTCTCGTGAAAGAAGCTCATCTCCTGCGTCCCCTTGTTGATCATGTCCTCTAGATTCTGCACCTCACCCCTTCCCCCTGCATCAATTCAACCCTTCCCCTTCCCCATCTCCCTCCCCTTCCCCTTGCTCCCTTCCCCTACGCACCTCTTGTGAAAGAAGCTCATCTCCTGCATCACCTTGTCGATCATGTCCTCTAGGTTCTGCAGCTCATCCCCCCCCCCCCCCCCCCCCCCCCCCCCCCCCCCCCCCCCCCCCCCCCTCCGCGCACCTCTCATGGAAGAAGCTCATCTCCTGCGTCACCTTGTCGATCATGTCCTCCACATTCGACACCTCATCCCGCTCCCCATGTTTCCCACTCCCCCCTTCCCCAACCCGCCCCACCCCCCTCATCATCCCTCCGCGCACCTCTCATGGAAGAAGCTCATCTCCTATGTCCCCTTGTAGATAATGTCCTCCAGGTTCTGCAGCTTATCCCCCTCACCCCCTGCTTCCCCTCCCCCCCCCCTCTGCGCACCTCTCATGGAAAAAGCTCATCTCCTGCGCCACCTTGTCGATAATATCCTCCAGATTCTGCACCTCACCCCTTCCTCCTGCACCTTCTCCCCGCGCCTCTTCCCCCTTTCCCCCTCCCCATCTCCCTCCCCTTCCCCTTGCTCCCTTCCCCTACGCACCTCTCATGAAAGAAGCTCATCTCCTGCGTCACCTTGTCAATAGCGTCCTCTACATTCTGTAGCTCACCCCCTCCCCCATTACCCCCTTTCACGCACCTCTCGTGGAAGAAGCTCATCTCCTGCGTCACCTTGTCGATAGCGTCCTCCAGATTCTGCAGCTCCAGGTCGAATTGCTGCCGGGGGGAGAGGCGGCGAGGGTGGGGAACGGGAGATTGGCAAAGGGGTGCAATCATATTATTCATCTCCTGCGTCACCTTGTCGATAATATCCTCCAGATTCGGCAGCTCCTGGTCAAAGTGCTGCAGGGGGAAGGGGCGAGGACAGGGGGCGGTGGGAGATCGGCAACGGGGTTGAATCAGATTCTTCGTCTCTTTGGTCACCTTGTTGATAGCGTCCTCCAGATTCTGCAGCTCCAGGTCGAATTGCTGCCGGGGGGAGAGGCGGCGAGGGTGGGGAGTGAAAAATTGGCAAAGGGGTGCAATCATATTATTCATCTCCTGCGTCACCTTGTCGATAATATCCTCCAGATTCGGCAGCTCCTGGTCAAAGTGCTGCAGGGGGAAGGGGCGAGGACAGGGGGCGGTGGGAGATCGGCAACGGGGTTGAATCAGATTCTTCGTCTCTTTGGTCACCTTGTCGATAGTCCTCCAGATTCTGCAGCTCCAGGTCAAAGTGCTGCCAGAGATGGGGGTGGGGTGGGGTGGGGTGGGGTGGGGTGGGGTGGGGTGGGGTGGGGTGGGGTGGGGTGGGGTGGGGTGGGAGTCAAAACGGTCACCTTGTCAATAGCGTCCTCCAGATTCTGCAGCTCCAGGTCAAAGTGCTGCAAGGGGATGGTGGGGGAGGGACGGGAGGTGGGGCGTGGGGGGTGGGAGATTGGCGAAAGGGTTGAAACAGAGTCTTCATCTCCTGCGTCACCTTGTCTATAATATCCTCCAGATTCTGCAGCTCCAGGTCAAAGTGTTATTTGGGAATCACTTTTGAGAATTTTCAAAAGTCAGAGGAATGCTGCCTCTGCAATCAAACTCTGCATCTCCAGCTCAAAATTTGATCAGAGGCAAGGGAGAGAGATGCAGAGTTTGATTGCACAGTTGCCTCTCCAGCTCAGAGTGCTGCCAGGGAGAGGGGCAGAGAGGGCGGGATGAAGGGAAGGGGGAGACGGAGACACGGTGCTGTGCAGCAGCGAATGGCAGAGGAGAGCAGCACAGCAGGGATTAGGAGCTAAGGTACTGAACGCCGGGGACTTCTGAGACGTCTCAAAAGTCGAATGGCAGAGGAGAGCAGCACAGCAGGGATTAAGAGCTAAGGTACTGAACGCCGGGGATTGAGGGGGTAGAGGGAGGAGGGGTCAAGGAGTAAACGATATACTGAGAATAGTCCTCCTATCCATGCCCCCTCCCATTCATGCCCATACCCCCTCCCACACCACGCCCCACTGCACCACTCACATCAAGCCTCTCCTTCTTAGCACCATGACTGACGCTCTTCTGCGATTTCCCCGTGGTCCACGTGATGTCGATCTTGTGCGTGCGCTTCGCGTCATGATGCCCCTCGTGGGGCAGCCAGAAGCACACGGAGAATTCGCCCGTCTCGTCCGCTGTGAACCCGAAATGACCTTCTGAGACGTCGTGCTGCCAGTGCAGCTGCTGCCCTGACGGGTCAGTCACCTGGGCATGGAGAGATGCGGAAAACGGAAGGGAGGAGACTGTGTCTTAAGATGAAGTGGCACGGTGGGAGCATCCATACATGTTGTGCCTTGCTTTAAGGGGAAAGAAGCCCCTCCGTCCTGTCGTTATGCCCCTCGTGCGGCAGCCACACGGAGAATTCGCCCGTCTCGTCCGCCGTGAACCCGAAATGCCCCTCCGAGACATCGTGCTGCCAGTGCAGCTGCTGCCCTGACGGGTCTGTCACCTGGTGGGAAGGAAGATGAGACATTGGGAATAGGAACATGTGGGGAGCTGAACCTTACTGTGAGGGCAACACGCCCCTCCGAGACATCATGCTGCCAGTGCAGCTGCTGCCCTGACGGGTCCGACACCTGGTGGCAGCCAGGGGGGAACATGTGACATAAGGGGCAAGACGCAACACGCCCTTCCTCCGCCACGTCGTGCTGCCAGAGAAGCAGCTGCCCTGACGGGTCCGACACCTGCCCGTGGGGAACATGTGTCAGGTATGGAACGGGGAAGGAGCAGGAACACGTTTTTGTGATGCAAAGTGAATCTTTCTGTGCCAGGCACGCCCGCCGCCACATTGTGCTGCCTGCCAGTACAGAGCAGCTGCTGCCCTGACGGGTCTGTCACCTGCCCGCGAGGAACATGTGTCATGTAGGGAATGGGGAAGCAGCAGGAACATGTCGTGGCGATGTGAACTGGGCCTAGCTGTGACAGCCATGACAATCCCGCTGCCACATCGTGCTGCTAGTACAGAGCAGCTGCTGCCCTGACGGGTCTGTCACCTGGTGGGAAGGTCGAATACGGGGCGGAAGGAAGGTCCCCTCGCAAGAAAGGAGCTTGCTTTCGCCCCGTCCGTCACCTGGAGGAACTTTTTTTTTTGGGACGTCACAAAATAAAATTCTTTCACGTTGCCAGCTCGCGGGCTCGTCAATCCTGCTAGTACCGAGGAAGCAAGTCGCACGCTCCCATACCGTCGCGAGATAGGTCGTCGGTTCGTCCCTGTTGTGCTCATCTCTTCCTCCCTGCGGTGTTGTGGTGTACGGAGATTCATCCGCAATCTGACGATCCATTCAGCCAATGCACCAACCTTTCAGAAAATTCAAGGCTGACCGGCAATTTAAACGCCTGACCGGCAAGTCAGGCTTCTACCCGAGGAATCGCTTACTGACTGGCCATTTGTTCACTTGCCTGAGCGTTGACTTTGAACGGCTCTCCGTGACCGTCGTTGACCGCCACGTAGGACCCCGCTACAAGCACACCCTCTCGAACCTCCTCGTCGAAACATTTGGGATCCGTCGAGATCTCGAATCGCACGGTGTATGCGACGGCTGGCGACGTCGCACACGCGAATGCGACGACTACCAGGAGCACGAACGTAAACGGCGACATTGAGAACGCCGTACTAGCGAAGCTAATTTACAACGAAGGAAACTAGAGTCGAATCGTTGAAAGGGGTGGAATAAACAGTTACAAAGTTAGCGCACTGATAACATGTGCAGTTACACAGTCGGGATTCTTATTAGTTACTGGAGAATCTTAACATAATTGAAATGGGACGACGACTATTTTCCTGGCGTTCGGTCGGTGCCAGGCAGTCCGTTATCTACGCTAGGAGCCAACTAATTTTCTTGCAGGAACGCGAATCATGCTGATCACATCACAGCTGTTCTTGGGATTGCCGTAGCGGCGTTATCGCGTACAATGCCTGTTGTCCACGGACCAGACGCGTTACCAAGTTTGGCAGTCTACACGATTTGAACGCCATCATACAACCACATACATTTCCCAAGGGGAGCTTCTTCCAAAGCTCTCTGCACCCTGAATTCATTGTGATGTGTATAATTTCATACCATCTAGCTGTTCGCAAAGAGGGGGCCAATTTGAATAGCCACGATTGACATCCCAGGAAGTCCAAAAAACGGTTAAAGATTCAGGAACAAGAAACCCTCTGTTGTAGGGGGTCCTTCCACCTCAACTTGTGGAGAAGAAACCGCATGCAAGGCTATGGATGACACAACCACTGGTGATAGCCCAACAATGGGAACATCAAAGTTCTTAGTAGCGATGACAGAGAGGGACATGTGGCAACTCAAGCACTGGCTTGGAATGGAGCAGCTTGTTCTTAAATCAGGTAATGCACACATGTAGCCTTATCTCAAAAGAAAGTCCACATGCTCCTGGTTGTAATTCGTGAAAGAGTAAGGGTACATTCCTGAAGCGCGTCACAAAGGCCTCGCGTCTCAAACGAAGAGATGCAGTGCAATAGAAATGTTCGACACTCAAGTGTAATGCGGTGCAGACTGGTACAGCGGTTCTATTACGCGATTGAGACATTTGTGTCCAGAGCGGAATGTACCCTAAGAATCATCATTGCAGGGACCTACCTAACATCCTGTTTGGTCAGCAAACGTCTGGCCCTGTTTCTGCCTTTACTCTCTCCCAGCCACATGATCCTCCCCCTGCCATGCCTCCATCTCCTTGTTCATCACCCTGCGCGCTCGCACTCGTACATTTTCCCACCTCTCCTTCCCACCGTTCCGCATCTCTCTCCACTTCTCCCTCCTCCCCTTAAAACCCCTTCCACCGCCTCCTCGCCAACAACTCGTATCCCCCACCCCGTATTCGTCTTCTTCACCAGCTCCTGCTCCCATCTCTAGCTGTTCCCACTCCAGCCCAGCACAAGGCAAGGCGTCTCCAGAGATGGTTGACAAGCCTCCGAAAGTTGCATCTCTCGGAGGAAATGGTTGATGCACCTCCCAGAGGAAAAACAGCTCTTCCAGCTTCACCAGGTACGTGAGATGCTGCAGCCCATCATTCAGCACCCCAGAGCGCCTCAGATCAACCTGTTTCAGAGTGGTGATTTTCCCCACATGCGCCATACCAGCAGACATGACACGATCACACCCAGCAAGCTCCAACTGCTTCAGCAAGGGGAGTCCCACGAGGTTCACAAGGCCAGCATCAGTCATCTTGGTGTGCGAGAGGGGAAGATACTCAAGCCTGCTCAAAGCCCTTCAAGTGCTCATCTGCATAAAATCGTGCCACGCAGGTTCAGCTTCTTCAGCCACGGAAGCCTGTAGAGGCAAGTGATGCCCTTTGTGGTGAAGCCCGAGGATTTACCCAGGTTGGGAATGGTCAAGTGGGTTAGGCTACCACCATTCGCCAAGAAGATGAGGAAATGGGAGGACATGGGCATACCGTAATAACAGGAACTCCAAGTGACAAATGTTATCACAAAAAAACTCCAAATCAGGTGTGTTACAAGCAGCACACACATTGTCCTACGGAAACTAGAAATGTCGAGAGTGGGATTTGAACCCACGCCCTTTCGGACTGGAACCTTAATCCAGCGCCTTAGACCAACTCGGCCATCTCGACACGTTCATCAGATGATATTACCATCCAAATCCATTTTAAACGACCACAATTCATCACAATGTACTCAAATCACACTAAGTAGCTCACGCCATACCTATTGCGCATGCGCAGGTGCTGTTGGCACATGTCCTTGTCCTCCCAACCAGCGGCACCCATACTACTGAGCACGGCTCACCTCACTCATTCCCCACCACGCACCTCAAACATGAGCGAGTAGCAGCCGTCCCAGTTGGCACGTGTCCTTGTCCTCCCCAGGAGGCAGCAGGGAGATCTCGTGTGTCTCCAGCTCCTCCCTCGCGTACGCTCCTTCCAGCACTCCCCTCACCCGCTCGTCCCACCCCTCGCCCTCTGCTTGCGACTGCACAGACAAGCCAGGGGAGAAGAAAGAGAAACGAACGGGAGAAGAAGGGGAGAGGGGAGAAAGTATGGAAAGGTATAAGCTGAATGAACTGAAAGAGAAGGGGAAAGCAGGGGACAACCAGGAGAGGAGGTATGTGGACTTTGTGTATGGGAGGTCTGGACAGAAGTGCAGGTGAGTCCTCCAGTCCCAGTCACACGGATTGCACATCGCAGGACTGCAGGAGGACTCATCTGCAGGACCGCTGTCCAATGAAGCTTAGAAAAAAGAAGAAGAAAGAAGAGAGCTATGAATATCCAAAGGTATTTTTAGCACAAGCGGACAAGAGTATAAGATGTGAGGGTGAATAGCTACAAGACTGGAGAAAACTTTGGCAAGAGAGAGTGGTTTGCTCCCAGGCTGAGAGGGTCATGTGGAAGCTGAGAAAGGCAACGGACAGAAAGGGCGAGAGAAAAAGGGTAAGAAAAGAGGTTGATGGGTAATACACGAGCTTCACATGGCATGGCGGCCACAACACATCTCCATGGTTTGGATAGCAAGGTTCCATGCATCACATGGCATGGCATGTCTTCCAGCATCACATGGCATGGCATGGCTTCCAGCATCACATGGCATGGCATGGCTTCCAGCATCACATGGCATGGCATGGCTTCCAGCATCACATGGCATGGCATGGCTTCCAGCATCAGACGTTTCCTGCAGATTTTCAGCAGCAAACACACTTGAAGTCCGCGATGCAGACCAAATCTTCCTCGAGATACTCAAGCGAAGACAAACTGACCTTAGACTTCATAAATATCAGGTGGTATAAAATCAGAATCTGTTTGAATCTGACTCATACATGGTGTGTCAGTTTCATCACATCCCTGGCAGGAGGAGGGTCAACTTTCACTAACAGCAGCCTCGATATTGTCACAGAGACAAGAATCACTGCGACTAGCAGCCCTGCCACCTCCGTAGCCACTCCAGCCATGCGAGGCATGGCGTCCAGGTAGGAGAAATCATGCTAATGATTAGGAGAAAGTATCAGCCGAGAAGCACCATACTTGGAGCAATTGACTTTTGAGTAGCCATGCAAGCCATGGCGTCCAGCTAGGCGAGATAGGGAGAAAGTATCAGCTGAGCCGAGCAGCATGTTTTGAGTCATCTCAAAACCCCAACCACTAGAGCCATGGCGTCCAGCTAGGAGAAATTAAGAGAACTTAAGAGTGCTGGAGGAGATCCATGCGTAGATGGAGGTGCGAACGCGACTACTGAATGGTGAGAAAGGTCGCGAGAAGGTGGCTCGAAATCCAAGGCCGCGTGGACGCTACCTTATGAGCAGGGGTATGAACAAAACGAGATGCAAAAACGAGAGATAAGAGCGTGGAACATCCTTTTGAACAAGTGATTGGTCGGTTGCCTGGTCGAACATTGGGGCTCGTCAATCGTTTGCGACGGAGTTCGCCAGGCAGCACAGAAAACCACAAACTGCAAATCAGAAACCCCTGCAAATTTGGGGAAGGGACCATAGGCCGCCCACAAACGCAAAACCTGTAGGGTACACGGTTCGCTAAATTCGTCAAACGCCTTGCTGCTAAGGATGCAGCACATCACCCTCGACAACACCTGGTTGCATGTCGCATGTTTCTGCCTACATCGTCAATTCTTGTCGTATCAGCGTGATCCAAAAAGTGGGGTGACCGAGCTGTGGAGTAATCTTCGTTACTCTTCTACGAATTTCATTTGCGACAAGCGCAAACAGGGTTACTGTCGCAGTTGAGCGACCAACGGTGTGTTCAAAAGGATGTTCCACGCTCTAATTCGCAACGCATGTGAGAGCGACTCACCAGTAGTAGTAGTAGCGTCGCGAGGGCAGTAACACAGGGCAGGATAGACGCATAGACATGCAGGGAGGCAGGAGCGACAACAACCAGGCAGCCACGGCAGCCATGCGGTCGACAGTGGAAAGAAACGAGCAGACCCGACTCGAGTAGCCCATGAAGCATTTCGACATGCTGTCCCGCTGTCACATGATGTGACCCGTGTGCATGCTGCTTCCGAAAATTTTCAGAATCTGGATCGCTTTTGAAACTTTTCGAGGTGACATGCTGTCGTGCGTGATCCGTGTGCTTGCTGCTGTGACGGTCATATGACATACGTGGCATGACGTCACTCGAGGTCATGCATGCACGTGACAGTAGTGATGGTCAAATCTAGATAACGTCACTTTCCAGGTCGCAGCGAGCAGCTCATGAGCACCACCGTCTCATGCGAGGGTGCACCGACCGAAACCGTAGGATATGAATTTCTAATCATCATCTCCATCGTCGATGAATTCGCCCAGGACTTTGAATTTCGACATCGGTCCGTCCATCCATCGACGACGGCTCGCGAAACTGCCCATTAGCCAGCTGAGGTCTGTCGCGACTCTCGTCATGCGAACCCACTTTCCCGTCCACCCAACACCCACCCACGCTTTCCCCACCCTTGTCGGCGGCACGAGGCCCAAACTGCTAGCGAATAAACGATTAAGCAAACAAACTCTGCCCGCAGAAACGCAACATCTGCGAAGCCCATGTCCCGTGTGCGATGAGCCTGACGAAGAGAATAACCGTCGTCGTTGGGGGGGTCCTACTCTTCGCACAGGACCTGTAAGTCGTGATCTGTCGCTTGTTGCTAGTAGGCGAGAGCACAAGTGAACAAAGCACGATTCGGAATTCATCGTCCGAATCACCACCTTTCGTCGGGAGAAATTCGAGTAGTGTTTTTCGCTGTTCTCAGTTGTGTTTCCCGTTTTGAGGGTTTCGATTTTCTAGATCGCGGCATCGAGTCGCATGGCGTCCTGCTGGTTCGCTGCGACTCGCAATTGTTGCGACTCGCATTGCATGCTCGCTGATGAACGGGGACCCGAGCTCCCCCGAGCTCCACTGTGCGCAGCTCCCCCGAGCTCCGCTGTGCGCAGCTCCCCCGAGCGCAGCTCCGCCGTGCGCAGCTGCCCCGAGCAGGTCTGCCCTGCCCTGCCATCGCCGCTACGCCGCACATTCCAGGTCGCTTCCAAGTGAGAGTTGCACTTGCTATGCGTGGCTGCATCCCTCCCATCCCCCTGACCTAATTCTGAGACGTTAGAGTCTCACGACTCCGTTCCCCCTACTCTCCCGCTGCCAGCCACACCAGTCCCCTCCACCTGACCTAATTACCAAGCTCAGCCGAGCCAAGCCCTAGGTGACTTTTGAGTCGACTCGAGAACGTTCCCCTTACTCTCCCCACCTGACCTAATCACCAAGCTCAGCCGAGCCAAGCCCTGACCAACCGAACCGCCCTAACAAATCTCCAGCCTCCGTCCCACCGTCCTCCCTGCCTCCCTGCCTCCCAGCCTCCCCAAGCTGGGCCATCCTAGGTGGGGAGGTTAGTTCCGCGCATGCTACAACACGTTTCTTTTCAAACTCCTTACTCTGCACATTCTGTAACGTGCCATCTCACGTCCGCACTCATCCTCATCCCTCAGTCGCTTGGCCGTTTCTGCAAAAACCTACAAGCCCGCGGTTCCTCCAGCACTCACCGCCTCTGCCTCCTCCTCTCCTCTTACCACCTGCTGTCTTTTAAGTCAGACTCAAAGAAAACTCATTCCCCTGCCCGTCCCGCAAGCTCGTCCCTCCAGCACTCACCGCCTCTGCCCCCTCCTCTCCTCTTACCACCTGCTGTCGCTCCAAGCTCCCTGCTCCCCGGATTAAAATCTTGAAGTACAAGCGGTTGGCAGAGGAATTGGCGCCAGAGGAACGGGCGGTGTTTGAGGCGCCTCATTAGCACAAAGCTGGAAAATTTTGAGGTACAAGCTTGGCGGCAAAAGAATTGGCGGCGGAGGAATGGGCGGGCAGAGGAACGGGCGGGCAGAGGAACGGGCGGGCAGAGGAACGGGCAGCGACAAAGTGGATAGCAGAGGAACAGGAGGCGGATGACTGGGGGGCGAGGAATGGGCGGTGGTGGGACCGATGGTTTTAGAATGGGCAGCAGAGGAAAGGGCGAAGGCGGAACGGGCGGCAGAGGAAGAGGAACGGGCGGCGAAAAAACGGGAGGAAGAGGAATGCGAGGCGCATGAATGGGCGGTGGCGGGGCCGATGGTTGCAGAATGGGCAGCAGAGGACCAGGCGGAGGCAGAAGCAGCAGAGGAAGAGGAACGGACGGCGTCAGAATGGATGGCAGCAGAACGGGAGGCAGAGGAACCGGAGGCAGAGGAACGGGAGGCAGAGGGACGGGAGGCAGAGGAACGGGAGGCAGAGGGACGGGGGTTTGGAGCATGGGAAGCAGAGGAATAGGAGGGGTGGATGTGGCATGGGAGAATGAGAAGCGGAGGCACGGATGGGTCAGGAACCAGGGCGGAATCGCCCTGGTTCAGGGTGCCTTGATCCAAACAGAGCTCAGCCTTGCTCTCCTGCCTCCCCTCCCTACCCCATCCTCCCCTTCCTCAACCTCCTCGGAGGATGGGGTAGGGAGGGGAGGCAGGGGAGCAGGCCCCATCCTCGGCCTCCTCCTCGCCCTCTTCACACTCGCACTGCTCTGCTGTTAACCTCAGGGCTGACCCTGTTCCCCGACGGTGCTGACTTGCTTGATACCACTTGTGTCATTGTATTATCAATAGTCACATTCTCTGTCCTCACCCTCCTCGGCCTCTTCACACTCGCGCCCGCTTTCCCATCCAAGCCTCCCTCTTCTGCTCTCCTCAACCCCGCTCAGCTGCCTGACCCACTGGTTGAAATGCAGCAAGCCAGTGCTCAGAGTGGTTGAAATGCATTGTGTGCCACCCAATTTCTCGCTCCTGAACTGCCCGCCGCTACCCGCCAGTGGCTCTCATCGCAATGCTCCGCTGTTCGCTCCAGGGTTTACTTGATTTGATTGATTCGGTGCGGTGCCACTTGTATCAGTAATGTCGTAGACATTCTCTCTTCAGTTATATCTGAGGCCATTGCATTGCAGGTATGAGTAATAATCATGCTTGGGATGAGAAACTGGATGATCTATGATGGATCGAATGAGTAGCATTGTGATGGCATGATTAAATCCGACGGTCAGGAGGAGCTTGGCCGAAGCAGCACTGCTGGCGGCACTCCGTTGGAAGTGCTGCTGCGGCCATGCTCCTCTGAAAAGGACATCTGGAGTGCATCATTCTCATAACTGCCTCTGCTCATAACTGTCCCTGCTCAGAGCAGGAGACTACTGTGGTCCACCCATGCCGCTTCCCATGCTGCCTCCCATGTTGCTACCAGGCCCACCCATCCCTCCGCCCATCCCTCCGCCCATCCCTCCGCCCATCCCTCCGCCCATCCCTCCGCCCATCCCAGGTCCACCCTGCCCAGGTGCTGCCTGCGACCCTGGAGCAACCCACCCTGACCCGCCCATGCCTCCGCCGCCCATGCCTCCGCCGCCCATGCCTCCGCCGCCCATTTCGCCGCCACCCATGCCACCGCCGCCCATGGCACCGCCCATGCCTCCGCCCATGTTCCCCCCAGGGCCCATGGCTGCTTGTGATCCAGGAGCAGACGACCCAGGTCCACCCATGCCTCCGCCACCCATCCCGCTGCTGCCCATGCTGCCGCCGCCCATCCTGCTGCCGCCCATGCCTCCACCACCCATGCTTCCGCCGCCCATTCCGCCGCCGCCAATTCGGCCGCCGCCCATGCCCCCGCCAGGACCCATGGCCGCCTCTGATCCAGGAGCAGACGAACCAGGTCCGCTCATGCCACTTCCAGTTCCTCCGCCGCCCATTCCGCCGCTGCCTATTCCGCCGCCGCCCATTCCGCCGCCTCCCATTCCGCCGCCGCTCATTCCGCCGCCGCCCACCCCACTGCCGCCCATCGCGCCGCCGCCCATTCCGCCGCTGCCCATTCCGCTGCCGCCCATTCCGCCGCCGCCCATTCCGCCGCCGCTCATTCCGTCGCCGCCCATCCCACCGCCGCCCATCGCGCCACCGCCCATTCCGCCGCTGCCCATTTCGCCGCCGCCCATTCCGCCGCCTCCCATTCCGCCGCCGCTCATTCCGCCGCCGCCCATCCCACCGCCGCCCATCGCGCCGCCGCCCATTCCGCCGCCGCCCATTCCTCCGCCGCCCATTCCGCCGCCGCCCACTCCGCCGCCGCCCATTCCGCCGCCGCTCATTCCGCCTCCACTCACTCCAGCGCCGCCCATCCCGCTTCCGCTCGTTCCGCCACTCTGCTGCTGCTGGCCGGTCGAGCGTCCGCCTTGCGCCCATCCGCGCATCATCCCGTGCAGCTTGTCCGCGCGGAGCCCCGCGGAGAAACGATAGGCCAACGCCGCGTGGAGAGACGAAACCAGAACAAGTGAGAGGAGGAGAAAGGCCGTGCTCGGGTTACGGCGACGACGCTGGGTCGACGAAAAGGAAACTCTCTGCGTCATTGCGCTGGTGTTGCTTACGGTTCAGCTGGGGTTCCACGCACAATTTTTATTTTAGCTAGTACGGTAGTTTGCAAGTGAGGAAGGTGGGAGTCCTAAAATGTGTGAGGAAGATTGGATGAGATGGTGATGATGTGAGCCAGCCCTTTTGTACTCTCGTCGAGCCGCGAATGCTGAACAGATGGAAATGCCTTTCGCGCGCCGCGATGACCCATTGTGCTCCAACAAGTGGTCTAGGCGAACGTCGAGTAAAAAAATTGAAATTTCAGTCAGCGCCCCGTGAAAAAATGTTGACCACTGTAGCTTGTCAAGGAAATTCGAAGAACCCTGTATCCCTGATAATATCGGATCCGGTAACGAAATATCGTGTCGCAATACACAGACTGTATTCCATAATGTTTTGTTCATCATACTAGCTTAGGTGTACTTGTACATGCCGAACAAAATCCCGCACCAACCATTCTGCCACAAGCGCGAATAGATCTATGACAAGAAGGGGAGGCTAGTGTTGGGGTGACCAAGGACAGCTCACCAGAAAGCTCACCGCGATGCGCGACTTGCTCGACCAAGCTGACGTGGCAAAATGCAGGCGTCGCTCGACGATAGGCATGAGGGTATAGAACAAGGCGAGAACGCCGATGAATTTCGCGAGACCAATCCTATTTCAGTGTCGCGCTCGCGCAGCGACTCCGCGCATGCCGTGTTCCGCTCATCGCGCAGGTTCCGCCGCGTCTTGTTTCGATGATACAGTGGGCGACGAGGGCAAGCGCAAGAAGAGAGGGCGGGGGAAAAAGTGGGGTTACGCCTCGTACGCGGGAAACCTGAGATGATTCTGATTTCATCTCTTGGCATCAAAGCGCACCCTCGCATGGCGTGCTGATGGTTCGCTCCTCTCCGCAACTCGCATTGCTTGCGTAACCGTGTTACTGAGTACGGCGATGCCGGTGAGCGACAGGAGCGAGACCCTCGCTCCGCCACATGCAGCTCCGCCACGCGCAGCTCCGCCACGCGCAGCTCCGCTACGCGCAGCGAGACGCTCTCTTTTTCCGCCCTCCCTGTCCTGCCCTGCCCCGCCCCGCCCCGCCTTGCCTCGCCCTGCCCCCGCCCTGGCCTGTCCTCATCACCCTCCCACTTCCGCACCCACCCACTTCCGCACCCCCCCACTTCCGCACCCACCCACTTCCGCACCCCCCCACTTCCGCACCCCCCCACTTCCGCACCCCCCCACTTCCGCACCCTCCCACTTCCGCACCCTCCCACTTCCGCACCCTCCCACTCCCGCGCCCCCCCACTTCCGCATCCGCTGCAGCTTCCCTTGTGACCTGACGACCGAACCTCAGCCATTCCAAGCCCTAATCACGCTACTCAACCTTGCCACCTCCCCCTTCCCCGGTCTCCCCAGCCACGCGCAGCCACCCCACACGCAGCCACCCCATGCGCAGCCACCCCACGCGCAGCCACCCCACGCGCAGCCACCCCACGCGCAGCCACCCCACGCGCAGCCACCCCACGCGCAGCCACCCCTAGCGCAGCGCTCCCATCCGCCAGGAGTAGTGAAGTCCGACTTAAGTCCGACTTAAGACTGTCTTAAGCGCCTCCTCCCCATATCTCAAGCACAGAGCCTGCGCCTCCTCCCCGGACCTCAAGCGCAGAGCCCGCGCCTCCTCCCCGGACCTCGAGCGTAGAGCCCGCGCCTCCTCCCCGGACCTCGAGCGTAGAGCCCGCGCCTCCTTTCCAGATATCACCCCCTGCTGCCGCTCCAAGCTTGCTGCTCCCAGCCTGATGCTCCCTCCGCATCCTTCCCTGCTCAACGCGGAGTGGTTGGAGTGGGTGGAGTGGGGTCAGGACTGCTCTGCTACGACTAGCAGTGGGTCTTGCTGCTGTGACTGTATCGTGGCTGCTCCCGCTGTCGCATGGTTTGCATGACAGCAGCGATCTCGCATTCCAAGTGGGAGTGTGTGTGTGTGTGTGTGTGGGGGGGGGGGGGTGTGTGTGTGTGTGTGTGTGTGGGTGTGTGTGTGTGTGTGTGTGTGTGGGTGTGTGTGTGTGTGTGTGTGTGGGTGTGTGTGTGTGCGTGCGTGCGTGCGTGCGTGCGTGCGTGCGTGCGTGCGTGCGTGCGTGCGTGCGTGCGTGCGTGCGTGTGTGTGTGTGTGTGTGCGTGTGTGCATGTGTGTGTGTGTGTGTGCGTCGCATTGGAATTCGGCGCTTGCAATTTCAGCCCGTTTCTCTCTCAATCTCGCATCCCTTTCCCAAGAACTTTCTCAACATCCATTTGTACCCATACCGCACTCAAATCTGACACCATTTGCTCACTCTGCCTCCCCACCATGCCACATACTATTGGGATCTTTCCTTCCATGACACCACGTGAGAATGAAGGAGCAGGGACACCCTCTGCCTGCCGTCAGCTGTGCTTTTCCAACAACCTCGAGATACGTAGCGGTACAAGAGAATAAGTATCTGTGACTTAAGAATCGACTCGGTACAAGAAGTCTGTGACTTGCCATCATGTAGCATGTATATAACCAGAATAGGAGTGCAATCTCTACAACAACCTATGCTTCCTAAACCAATCACTCGTCAACCTTGAGCTGGTTACAACTTGGGAAGACAACAGGCCCAACTGATCCAAGCTCTTAGACAATGCCATTTGGAGTACTACAGGCATCTCCTGGACCGTGGCTGCCCCTGCTCATGGGGACCCTGGTCCACCCTTACCACCTCTTATGTTACCACCACCGCTGCCCGTTCCACCGCTGCCCATTCCACCGCTGCCCGTTCCACCGCTGCCCGTTCCACCACTGCTCGTCGCCCCGCCTCCCGTCGCTCCGCCACCTGTTGTGCCGCCACTCGTTGGGCCGCCACCCATCGCGCTGTCACCCGTCGCACCACCATTCGTCGCCCCGCCACCCGTTGCACCGCCACCCGTTGCACCGCCACCTGCTCCACCACTAGCCCCACCGCCCGTCGCCCCACCACCCGTCGCCCCACCGCCCATTGCGCCGTTGCCCGCTGCACCGCCACCCGTTGCCCCGCCACCTGCTCCACCACCAGCCCCACCGCCCGTCGCCCCACCACCCGTCGCCCCCCCGCCCATTGCACCGCCACCCGTCGCGCCGCCACCCGTTGCACCCCCACCCGTCGCCCCACCACCAGTTCCACCGCCGCCCATCCCTCCCCCGCCCGTATTGCCGCTGCCCCCATCCAATCCGCCATCGCCCATCCCTCCCCCTCCTTTTCCGCCACCACCCATGCCCGCTCCAGGACCCATGCCTGATTGCGATCCGGGAGCAGAGGAACCAGGTCCGCCCATGCCTCCTCCCGTTCCTCCACCCCCCATTCCCTTGCCCCCCAATCCGCCGCCCCCAATTCCGCCCCCCACTCCGCCGCCACCCATTCCGCCGCCACCCATTCCGCCGCCCCCCATTCCGCCGCCCCCCATTCCGCCGCCACCCATTCCGCCGCCACCCATTCCGCCGCCACCCATTCCGCCGCCACCCATTCCGCCGCCCCCCATTCCGCCGCCACCCGTTCCGCCGCCACCCATTCCGCCGCCACCCATTCCGCCGCCACCCATTCCGCCGCCACCCATTCCGCCGCCACCCATTCCGCCGCCACCCATTCCGCCGCCACCCATTCCGCCGCCACCCATTCCGCCGCCCCCGATTCCGCCGCCCCCCATTCCGCCGCCACCCATTCCGCCGCCACCCATTCCGCCGCCGCCAATTGCTCCGCCGCCCATGCCATCGTTATCCCCAGGAGCCGCCGCTTCTGATGCGGGGGCTGATGCTGATGCGGGGGCTGATGCTGATGCGGGGGCCATGGCTGATGCGGGGGCCATGGCTGATGCGGGGGCCATGGCTGATGCGGGGGCCATGGCTGCTTCTGATGCGGGAGCGTATGACGGCCCAGATCCGTCCTTCCCCCCTCCATCTAATCCGCCGCCTAATTCGCCGCCGCCCATCGTGCTTCCGCCGCCTCCCATTCCTCCGCCTCCCACTCCGCCACCTCCAACCCCGCCACCGCCCACTCCGCCACCGCCCGTTCCGCCACCGCCACCCGTCCCTCCGCCAGCGCCCCCACCGCCCTTCCCGTTTCCGCCCTTTCCGTTTCCGCCGCTTCCGCCGCCGTGTTTGTGCCTTTTACAAATCGACAGTCCGCAGCGCACCCATCCGCGCATGTTCCCGCGCAGCTTATCCGCGCGGAGCCCCGCGGAGAAGTGGAAGGCCAACGCAGAGTGCAGAGACGAAATCAGGACAAATGAAAGGAGGAGAAGCGCCGCACTGAGGTTACGGAGACGGAGCCTGTTCTGCGGGGGCGAAAGTGAGTGTGCCATATCTTCGATTCCGCTAGCGTGATGGAAAAAAAAAAAAAGCTCAACTATGAGAATAGAGCCCAGATGCTCAGGGTTGTCGAAGAAAGTGTTTGTGAAAGAGCTCTCAAGAGTCGAGAGTCAGCTTTTTTGTGGTGTCGAAATTGGCGTGAGTTGGGAAATGCCAGCTGCACCAATTTGTACCCTGTTCGCGTCGCCAATTTATCGCGTCGCACATTGCGAAGGTGCTCGAATTTCGAAATTTCTCGGCAGTCAACAAGAGCATTGGCCCAAGAAGCTGCGGCCACGTAAACAACCGAGCTGTTGTGTCAACGCTAAGAAGAAACGAGTCAACCGTACTCTCAAGCTCGGCGCCCGGGCGATTTCAGCAGCCGGCGTTTCACGCCGTCATCCCGCACTGCCGGATCAAACGCCAACAAGAAGGGAATACACAACCCTCGACACATACTGCCCTAGTTTCTATGTACAAGTTGACACTGAACATATTGGATAAAACTATAATTACGGATTGGACATTTTTTATACACTACAAGTCAAGGCTACAGAATGCCTACAGGTGACACTCATGCTCATGTATCCTAGACGCTTGATGAACCTGCATGCAAGGAGATGGACAGCTAAATATTCAGTTTCTATAGGTCAATTACAACAATGCACGTCCTTCATTGACTGTTTCAAACCCTAACCTGAACCAACGCAAATCTAATTCGCGTTGTGTTGTATTTGTTAACCCAGGCAAGGACTCGCCATATTTCTTTACAGCTGAGCTGCATATATCTGCACAACTCCTCATCTATTCCAGTTAAACTGTAGATTTCCGAGGTTGCTGAACCCTCCTCCCCCACCTCCGCCCCCTCCACCCCCCATCATCCCCTCATGCCCCATTCCCACTTGCTCTTGCATCTGCAGCCCTGCTTGCAGTGCTCCTGCTGCCACAGCAGCCGAACCACCCGCTCCAGCTGCTCCCATACCTAGACCCCCCGCACCTCCGCCAACCAAACCTGCCGCTGCAAGCCGGTCGAGCGAACCCAAACCTCCCACCAAGCCTACATTTCCGCCAACCATACCTGCTGCTGCGGCTCCCAACCCACCTCGGAACCCACCAGCACCAGAATCACCCATACCCGCCCCTAAACCCCCACCAACGAGTGCAGAGTTGGGAATAGAAGCACCGGAATCCATCAAACCAGCAACACCACCACCCGCACCACCGTCAATCACATTCTCAAACCTCCCCAGGTCTGCAATGTTAGCTCCTAGACTCGCCAATCGCTCAGCCAATGCCGCACCTCTCATCCCTCCCAAACCTCCTCCCACGCCTCCACCTGAAGGTCCGGCCAAGCCTGCAGCAGAAGCCAGGCCTGCAAAGTTACCAGCAGCCCGAACCATGCCCCCTGCTGCTCCCCCCAGCCCCTCAGGCAGCATATCCCCCCCGCCCATTACCCCTGCTCCTCCCACCCCTCCCACACCAGCAGCACCGCCAGCACCAACACCTGCACCGCTCCCCACCATTCCCAACCCAGCCAGGTTGGTAACCCCCATGCTTCTGAGCCGAGCAGCCATGGCAGCCACTCTGCTGCCTGCAGGACCCATCACAGATACACCTCCCCCTGGCCCACCTCCCCCTGCTCCACCCACCCCTCCCAACCCTCCTAGACCTGCCCCCACACCCCCATGCGAGCCCATACCTCCTCCCATCCCCCCTTCCGCCGCTCCCTCTCTCAACATCCCTGCAGCCGCTGCTGCTGCTGCCATGCTAGCAGCAGTGCCAGCACTGGCAAGACCAGCAGCACCAGCCCCGGCAGCAGCAGCACCACCAGCAGCAGCAGCAGAAGCAGCAGCCGCAGCCTGAGCAGCAGCACGGTTGAGCATGACCTGCTGCATCAGCTGCTGCACTGCACTCTGTGCTTCAGCACCTCTTAGCCCCTCCAGCTTCCCTGCCTGCTGCAGCAGACTCACAGCCACATTCCCCGCCGCTGCCGCTTGCGACGCTGCTGCTCCTCCCCCCACCCCCGCGCCTGCTCCTCCCCCCCCTCCTGCTGCCGCTGCAGCGGCTGATCTGCTTGCTGCTGCAGCTGCTGCTACTGCTGCTGCGCTGCCCATCCCGCCGAAATTCACACTGCCACCACCGCCACCGCCGCCGCCGCCGCCACCGCCAGCAGCGCCAGCAGCACCTCCCCCTCCTCCCCCCCCACCACACACACTACCACTGTTGCCACTAACTCCCTGAGCAGCAGCAGCAGCTGCTGCTGCTGCTGCTGCCGCTGCTCTTTCCATTGGGTTACCCTGCGACACTGACTGCTGGTGCTGCAACTGGTGCTGCTGCTGCTGCTGCTGCTGCAGTTGCTGCTGCTGTTGCTGTTGCTGCTGCTGCTGCTGCAATTGTTGCTGCGACTGCTGCTGCCGAAGACTAGCAAGGGCTTTAATCTGAGCCTGTCGAGCCATCAGAGTGGCCACTCTATTCGCCATGCCCCCCCCTACTCCCGCAGCCCCGCCCCCCGCACCCGCACTCTGCTGCAGCATGCTCTGAAGACCACTCAAAGTCATACCCGCGCTTCCTGCCCCTCCACCCCCCACACCAGCAGCACCACCACCCCCGCCACTCACTGCTGACGCTGCCCCGCCTGCCCCATAGCTCCCTGCCCTCGCCATCACCCCGCCATTTGTCCTCCCCCCTGCGCCCATCCCCCCACCACCACCAGGCCCGCCCTCCCCACCTCCCCCCGCGGCAGCAACGGCCTGCTGCCAGGAAGCTTCTTGGTGGGACACGGGCGGAGACATGAGAGCTGCAAACTCGCCTGCAGCCCCCTGCCCTGCTGCTGCTGCTGCCCCATCCATCCCCCCACCACCACCACCACCACCACCAGCACCACCACCACCAGCACCAGCAGCGGGATTTTCAGCACCCATAGCTTCAAGCTCTTGGTTCCTTCCCATGCCAAACCCGCCTGCTGCAGCAGCAGCCGCAGCAGCAGCTGAACCCATGACCCTGCCCCCAGGCCCGCCCATACTCCCCCCCATGCTCCCCCCCACACTGCCAGCGCGGGTGAACCCGCCCACCCCCCTCCCCCCTCCCCCTGCGCCCCCTGTGCCCCCTGCTCCCCCCATTCCGCCCATCCCCGCGCCCATCCCTCCCCCCATGCCCGCCATGGCCCCACCCACGGATCCAGACAGGGAGTTGACAGAGGAGGAATGTCTCAGCCTTGGGGGACCCAGGGGTGCGCCCGCTGTGCTTTCAGCTGCTGCTGCTGCTCCGCCCCCTCCCCCTCCTCCCCCTCCCCCACCTGCTCCGCCTGCTCCCCCTCCCTCCCCCACTCCCATTCCTCCCACCCCTGCCCCTCCCGCCCCTCCCCCAACAGCACCATCACCGTGCATACCCCCAGGCTCTCTCTCCCCTGTACTGTCCGCTCTAGACATTCCCCTTCCCCCCATACCGCCAGGCCCTGCCCCTCCCCCCGCCCCTCCCCCTGCCCCTGCCCCTCCTGCTCCGCCCATGCCCCCGCCCGCCCCCAGGGACCCCATGAGGGCGGAGATCTGGGCAGCACTGCTCATTCTCAGAGCGGCAGCTGCTGCTGCCACTGTTGCTGCCCCTGACCCCTGCCCTGCTCCCATGCCCTGCGCTCCAAAGCCCTGTGCCCCTCCCCCCCCTCCCCCTCCCGCTCCTGCTGCTGCCCCTGTGCCAGCGGATAAGGTACGCTGCACTTCCTGTTGCTGCTGCTGTTGTTGTTGCTGTTGCTGCTGCAGTAGCTGCTGCTGCAGGTGCTGCAAGGGAGACCGTGGGGGAAGATTCCTCTGCTGAGGGGGCGGCAAAGGGGGCAAACCCTGCCCCTGCCCCTGCCCCCCATGCTGCATCCCCCCCATTCCGCCCATCGCCCCCGCCCTTCCCCCCATTCCTCCTGTCCCACCTCCACCCTCAGCCATGAGTTGGGAGGTGGGTGTGACGGCCCGTGCCTCCTCCCTCGCCTGCCCCATGCCCTGCTGCTGCGGGCTCCCCCCTTCCTCCTGCTGCTGCCCCTGCTGCCCCTGCTGCCCCTGCTGCCCCTGCTGTCCCTGCTGCCCCTGCTGTCCCACCACCTGCTCGGTAACCAGACCGAGCTCCCCTCCCCCTTGCTGCCCCCCCTGCTGCCCCTGCCCCTGCCCCTGCTGCTGCTGCTGCTGTGCGTGCATGCGCATCTGCATTTGCTGCTGACGCGTCAAGCCTTGCTGCTGCTGTTGCAGGCCGTGCTGCTGAATCGAGTGGTCGGACGCGCATGGGGAGGGAGGCGCGGGCTTGAGGCGTGGAAAGGAGTTGAGGCTCTCTGTGAGGGGTGGGGGGGGCCCGGGGAAGGAGCAAGGGAGGGTAACATGGGAAAGGGTGATGGGGAAAGGTGCATGGGGAAGGGGGGGCGGCCTTGAGGCGCGGAAAGGAGTTGAGGATCTCTGCGGGATTGGGGGGGAGGGAGCAGCAGGGAAGGAGCAAGAGAGGGTAGCGAGAGAGAGGGAGGAAGGGAGGGGAACTGGGGAGGGGTGCACGGGGTAAGGGATGGGAAGGTGGCATGGGGAGGGCGTTGGGACGGATTATAACTTAGGTAGAGAGGGGTGCATGTGAAGGGGGGGTGGGAAGGGGGGATGTGAGAAAGGGGCATAACGAGGAGGGGATGGTGAAGCAATCTGATGCGTGTTGAGGGGAAGGGAGGGAGGGAGGGAGGGAGGGAGGGAGGGTAGGGAATGAGGGAGGGAGGAGCAACATCACACTGTAGCAACGGTAGAGGTGGCGTGGTGACATACCAATGGGCCCGATGTCGTGCTCTCGGCTGTAGTTGACCAGGTCCTTCATGCTGCTGCTGTTGTGGTGGCACGACACAGCAACAGTGCAGCTGTGCACACCATACCAACGGTACAGGTGGCAACTCAACTCACCAATGGGCCCGATATTGTGCTCTCGGCTGTAGTTGACCAGGTCCTTCATGCTGTTGACCACCTCCGATATCTGCACACAGTGCGACAGTGGAGGGTGTGACAGTGGAGGGTGTGACAGTGGAGGGTGTGACAGCGGAGGGCGTGACGAGGGCTTAAGTTGGGGCGACCAGCCTAATACCACAACTCTAAACCCTGCAGCACCTCTACAAGCCTACGCACCGCACACAACCCTACGGCAACGCACACCACCCGATCATACCTCGTAGCACCGCATAGCACACCTGCAGGTCAGTGACCGTCGGCGACTGATAGCACCTGTACCACATGAGGGAGCACCCTACACCACCTCATAACACCCTACAGCACCGCATAAACTCCTCATATCACACCTGCAAGCAGCGCACGTAGCACTTGGTGAAGCCCAGGTCATTGACTGTTGGCGCGTCCAGCTTGTGAGTGAGCTCCCGGCACATGGTGGCGAAACTGGGGAGTGAAAGGGGTGGGCGGGGGTTTGAGGGGTTGGGGGAAGAAGGCACGGCAGGGGAGGCATGAAGGGGCTTGTGAGTCAGCTCGCGACATATGGTGCCGAAGCTTTAGGGGGGGGGGTGGAGATGGAAAGGAGGAGAGGGGGGGAGGAAGAGCGTGGGAGAGGGGCATGTGGGCCAGCTCGTGACACATGGTCACAAACCGCGTGCGTGGGTGTTTGGGGAGGAAGATGTTGTTAGAGACGAGACAAGTACAGGGGCAAAGAGAGAGCAGATCTGCAAACTTCAAAAGGAAACAGAGAGCATAGAAGGGCAAAAAACGCACATGGTTCTGAAAGCGGGGAATACACAGAAGAGATGGAAGGAACGGGGGGGAGGGGGCGGGGGAGGGTTGTGGGGGGGGGAGGCCAGGGAGGAGGTACAGGGAGTGGGTTACGCAGAGTTAGAAGGGATGCTTATGTGGCGCAGTGAGAGAGGATGCTTACGTGGCGCAATGTGAGTGGAGCTGGTTGGGCGTGAGGGACCCCGGCAGGTGGTTCTGGAACTTGAATGCGAGATCCGCAAGCCGGCTCACCTGCAGCACAGAGTTCGATAGAATGGAGGGGTGGAGAGGTGGAGAGGTGGAGAGGTGGAGAGGTGGAGAGGCACAAGTAGGTGTGCAGGCACCACACAAAAGGGAGGGAGGGAGGGAGGGAGGGAGGGAGGGAGGGAGGGAGGGAGGGAGGGAGGGAGGGAGGGAGGGAGGGAGGGAGGGAGGGAGGGGACGGGACGGGACCGGAGGTGGGGAGATGAACGAGCAGATGCCAGCCAATGCAACGGGAAAAGGACACAGCCGTGCCTCAAAGAGTTTCAGGGTGTTAGTGGTGGGGTGCTTGGTGGGGTGGGGGTGGGGTGGGGTGGGGCGGGGTTGGGTGGGGTGGGGTGGGGTGGGGTGGGGTGGGGTGGGGTGGGTGCGTGGGGCTCACCTGCTGCAGCACAAGGCGGCGCGGCACGAGCTCCTCGTGGTTCTGCGTGCAGAACTCCCATAGCGTGATCTGCCGAGGAGGGCATGGGGAGGAGGGAATGTGGGGGAGAGCATGGGGGCATGGCATGGGTGCTTTAAAGACCAACTCCTCGTGGTTCTGCGTGCAGAACTCCCCCAGCGTGATCTGCCGAGGAGGGCATGAGCAGGGCGAGATGGGCGAGATGGCCGGGGCGAGATGGGTGGGAGGAGAACAGTGGGCCACATGCCACGGGTGAGGCATGAGCGGGATGAGACAGATTTGGTTTCCCAAGATGGGCATGACATGTCACCCTCCCCTTTCCCCCCCATTCTTCCCTCTCAACCCCATCTTTCCCCCACGAACTCCCCAGCATAGTGGGGCGCAAATCCTCCCACCTTGAGGTCCGAGTTGAAGACGATCTTGAGCTTCAGCTTGCCCTTGCGCACCATCCCCACCCCAGCTGCTCTCAACCCCCTTTCCCTTCTCCACCCAATCCCCCCCCACACAGAGGGGCACACACTTCCGGCACACCGTGAGATCACGTGTTTGAAGAAGTGTTTTGAGAAGTCTCAAAACACCTTGAGATCAGAGTTGAAGACGATCTTGAGCTTGCCCTTGCGCACCACCCTGAGCTGCTCTTAAACCCATGCCCCTCGCCCCTCGCCACACCCCCGCCCCCACTCTCCTCCCACACATGCACACCGGGGGCCACACAACTGGCCCACCTTAAGATCCGAGTTGAAGACGATCTTGAGCTTGCCCTTGCGCACCACCCGCAGCTGCTCGAAGAGGCTCTCCTGAATGGCATGGTCGTACTCCAATACCACGGCGCCACCTGGCAGCATGTACTCCGCGGGTAGGTCCGCATACAGCACCTCCTCTAGCACCCCGCTGTCGTACTTGATCTTGAAGAGGCGGGGCAGCACCTCCATCGTCATTTCTGTGGGATGTAACGAGTTAACACATAAGGGGGATGAACGGTAGGAGTGAGTGAGCAAGGTCAGCATACAGCACCTCCTCCAGCACCCCGCTGCACTCCCCTGCACCCCGCTGCACTCCCCTGCACCCCGCTGCACTCCCCTGCACACATCCCATCACTCACCAAAGCCTCTGCCAGGGCTGGCGCCACAGAGGTCGCAGGGCCAGATGTCCTGCGGGAAGACACCGGCGGGCTGGCGACCACTCCTGCCGTAAGAGGCAACACACCAACGCTTGCGCGCGTGCGGGGCGAAATACTGCGCCACGAACTGCCGCCAGAACTCCACGTTGTTGTCCTGCAGGGAGGTGAGAGGGAGGGAGAGAGTGAGAGAGAGTGGGGGCGTGAGGGGCGAAGTACTGTGCCACGAACTGATGCCAGAACTCCACGTTGTTGTCCTGGAGGAGGGGGGAACGGGGGCAGGAGCGCGACAGAGATGGAGGTGAGGCGCCCAAGGGGCTGCTGTGAGGGCGCTCCTGCCGTAGGAGGCAAAACACCAGCGCTTGCGCGCATGCGGGGCGAAATACTGAGCGACAAACTGCCGCCAGAACTCCACATTGTTGTCCTGGAGGGGGTGGAAGAAAGGGAAAGGGTATGTGTATGTGAGCAGGAGGGGACTACTGTGCGGGCGTGCGGGGCGAAGTACTGTGCGACGAACTGACGGCAGAACTCCACGTTGTTGTCCTGTCCTCTATGAAGCGCTGCGACTCGACTCGATTTGACCGCATGTGTGCGGAGCGAAGTACTGCGCGACGAGCTAACGCCACAGCTCCACATTGTTGTCCTGCAGGGGGTGAGTGGGAAACAAAGATGCCTACACCTACCTATTTTTGGCAAACTGGCACACAACGAGGAAACATGTGCATTGCAAGGCACGCACACCCACTTCCCGGGCACACTCCAGAAGCAGCGCATCAGCTAGCTCTGGTGTGGTGAGACATGTACTCCATGAGCTTTTGCACACACACCTATCCAACCAACCATTCACCTACCCGCCCACCCACACACTCACAGTAGGGCAGCGGCGCTGGTGGTACATGAACTCCATGAGTTTCCGCACACACCCTTGCAGACACACACAAACCCATCTTCACACCCATTCACCCATCCACACACCCATAGACCCAGTCAGACACCTCCGCAGAAACTCACAGTAGGGCAGCGGCGCTGGTGGTACATGAACTCCATGAGCTTGCGCACACACCCATCCATGTTGGCGGACCCATTGGGACACTCACACGCCCATGCACACACATGTTCACTCACGCACCCACCCATCCATCCACCACTCACAGCAGGGCAGCGGCGCTGGTGGTACATGAACTCCATGAGCTTGCGCACACACCCATGCACACAAACACCACATTCGCATGCAGACGGACACCCCTTAACCCACGAACCCACCCCCACAGCAACTCACAGCAGGGCGGCGGCGCTGATGATACATGAACTCCATGAGTTTCCGCACACACCCATCCACGTTGGCCGACCCGCCCACAGCAGGCAGCACCCCATCCTCTGGTGACACATCCATAACAATCGGCAT